TAGAGCACTCATTTGGCAAAATACTTGGACGTGATTGATTATTGGACCAATTCTGAAAACAAGAAGCCAAAAAAGTTCAAAGTTACAATGATCAGAGACGATACCGTGCCACAATAAACGGAGGGAGCCAGAGGGGATTGTGGTCCTCTTGTATGCATGTGCTTGGAACGTTTGATGACAGATAGTAAACAGTTTCTACTTCCCACAGATAGAGATAGAGGTGTAATAGGGTTGTGGTTTCGTCATTTTATGGCTCGAGCGATATATGCGAGACATTGCCTATCTGCATCCGCGTGCTGAAAGTGTACATACACAATTGGTAAGTTTGAGCAAGTGTTGTTAACATATATACTCTTTGTTGGTTTGAAAATATTTGGTTAAGTACCTAGAATTCAATAATTTGTTGTTTGTTGGTTTTAGATGTGTAGAAAGTGTTGTTTGAGCAAATGTTTGGTTTATGCAGGTTAATCCTGAAGTGAGTTGCGTGAAATTGATGTATTTGTGCATAAACAACTGTCTGGGATACATTTTTTTTGCTTGTTTAATTGAATTTTACATTGATTTGTAAAAGTTGATTTGTTTAATTGATGAGGAAATAAGAATTATTTTTTGCTTGTTTAATTGATTTTTAAAAGTTGATTTGTTTAATTGATGTGTAAATAAGAATTATTTTTGCTTGTTTAATTGATTTGTTGTTTTAAATTTCAATCTGTATTATGTTGAAGGCAAAACAGAACTGTTATAGGTACACTTTCGCAATGCGAAAGTCAAATTCACGTTGCGATAGTCAAATTCACAATGCGAAAGTCAAATTTGCAACGTGAAAGTCAAATTCGCAATGCGAAAGTCAAATTGGCGTTGCGATTTTGCGTTGCGAATTTGACTTTCGCAACAATCGCAACAAAAAATCTGATAAGTGATAACAACTGAATAGATCATAGCAATGTTAAAACACAAGTTACTAATGAATGTCTAATGCATTCACACATAAAATACACATAATACAACGTTTGCATTTAAAAATCACCTAAGTTAATAAGTCCCAAAAGGTGAAGCCGGTTGTGATTGTGATTTATTGCAATTTTGATTTCCTTTTGCTTGACACCATATGAATATTCTCCCATGACCCTCCAAAACACAAATATGTCTAAACATGATCAACATTAGATGATTTCATTCTACAATTTGTAAATTAATTTACTAAACAAACGAGCTATAAACTATATATCATCACTAACTTAGAGAATAACATACCTTTATTAAGTTGATAGTTGATAATTTGGGAGAGAAATCATTGAAAAATTATATATAAATAAAATTATGTCAAAAAAATTCCTTCCGAATATTATCCATTTCATCCAGCTCATGAAGATAAGATAACCATTAACCGAAACAGTCTGAGAGAAACATAGCTGATGTAGAAGCAGCTGCATATTTATTAAAATCTCGAAGGCGATCCATTTGGTTCTCAAACATTTAAAGCATCGGAAGCATTTTCGGACTTATGATTTGGGTGGTACTCGGAAGCATTTCAGACTTATTATTTTTGTTATTATTATAATTTGTAGCCCTCAATTATCGGGATTTTTAGTTGCCATTTGTTGTATTTCCCATATACCACCCAGATCATACGTCCGAAACGTTTTTGACGCTTTAACTATTTGAGAACCAACTGCATCACCATTGAGATTTTAAATCTGCAGCTGCTTTTATATCAAGTATGTTTAGCTAAGATAGTTTCGGTTTAGGGTTAACCTACCTCAGTGAGCTGACTGAAATGGATAATATCCGAAAGGCATTCTTCGGATATCCAATCTTCATGCTTGTTAACCAAAAACAATAGAAATTAGGAATAATCAATGATAACATGCATATTGGCTAAGTTATTCTATTGAGTAAGTTGTTGTTTGGATGAAACAAAGGCTTGGGCTAATATTTATAGTGGAGCCGAAATTTATATATATTAAAATTCAAACTCAAATTGAAATTTAAATTCAAACTCCAATTATATATTAAATGAATTTGAAATGCAGTGTTAAATTGAACATGAAAATTGTATAATTGATTCATACTGTTCAAGTAACATGCTTTATGAACCATCAAGCTAAAATACAATATTGATTGAGTTGAACGTTGAGTTGTGAGTTGATGGGGTTGTCACATTTGTCACATGGTGGGAATAAAGTACTCACATGGAAGAGATAGATTGTTTTGTTATGCACAACCCATCTCATCTGAATGAAAATATACATATATACAATATAATCAAACCAAAACATACATACACAATAAATTTATACATAACAATGTTCAAATAATGTACCCACAACAACGAAATTAATCCGATGAAAAAGGGTTATTTCTAACGAAGTCTGGAACATTATTTTCCAAATAATGTACTCATAACAATGTTCAAATAATGTACCCACAACAATGTTTAATTGATTTATTGTTTAATTTTCAATCTGCATTATGTTGAAGGTAAAAGCTACATGTTGAAGGTACACTTTCGCAACGCGAAAGGCAAATTCGGGTTGCGATTTTCTCGTTTCGATTGTTGCGATAGTCAAATTCGCAACGCGAAAGTAAAATTCGTGTTGTGATCGTTGCGTAAGTCAAATTCGCATTGCGATTTTTGCGTTGCGAATTTGATTTTCACGTTGCATATTTGACTACATAAAATACAACTGAAAAAGATAAAAGACAACAATCTGATAAGTGATAACAACTAAACAGATCATATCAATGTTCAAACTCAAGTTACTAATGCATGTCTAACTGAAAATGTATGTATTCACACATAAAATACACATAATATAACATTTGCATTTAAAAATCACCTAAGTTAATAAGTCCCAAAAGGTGAAGTCGATTGTGATTGAGATTTTGATTTTGATTGCAATTTTGATTTCCTTTTGCTTGGCACCATATGAGCTTTGGATTTTGATGAGGATCCATATTTTGGATGAGGATCCATATTTTGGTAGAGGAAAAGTTGATTGTGATGGCACTGGTGATCCACAGGTTAACTTTTTATGACCACTTTCCTTGCACCGACTACATGTTGATATCCTCTTCTCTTCACCCTTACACGGTATACGATCGTGATTTTTTGGTCGGCCAGGTAGTCTACTGTCCATGACTGGTGGCAAACCTATTTATAAGTCATCTGGTATGTCCCACTCAGAAGGATATGGAATAGGGTAGACAATCTCGGCATAAGTCTGTCGATGTAATTCTATAGTGTAGCAATCCATAACGTATGCACTTGAATCATCTTAGTTTAGATGAAGAACAACTTTTATAACATGGCCACACGGATAACCAGATGTTTGTCATTTCATACAACTACACGTCTTTGCATTTAGATCGACAAGCCCATTTAAGTTATTATCCAATACATCAAACAAAGTGTTTGAACATGGTTCAACTCTCCATAGAATTGACTTCACAACACGTTTCGTTATTTTTTTCAGTCCATGGTGTAACACGACGTTCCAATGTTCCTATAAATTAAAATAAATAATACCTAGTAAAATATATATTAAATATGATAAGTTACGAATTTAAAGAAATAATACCTGCATTGTTTCTTTTCTTGTAATATCACTGTTGAATAGAGGCTCAAAAAAACTCTATTAACATGGTAAATGGGTAATTTCCGGGAATGACGACTTAGAGCGTTGATTGATTCTGCACTGTAGACGTCTTGAAACCATATCTTGCTCCAAGTTAATGTACTCTTGACCATCTTTCAAACCCGACATCTTCTAGTGTTTGAGCACATTGAGGCAAAACACGTCTTAAACAATTTATATGCTTATTAAAATTCACTTCCCGATAAGTTTTTACAGCATTCCAGTATGTCCATTTGTGATTTTTTATACCAGCATACATTGATTTTAGATTTTTGTACAAATGAACACCACAAAGTCTATGAAAAGCATATGGGAAACACATTCTAACAACGTTGTCAATTGAGTTTGCCCTATCGGATATGATTGTCAGATTGTTAATAGGACCTATGCAATCCCTAAGATGCCCCATAAACCATGTCTATTAATCAGAGGTTTCAGATTTGCCAACCCCGTAAGCTATTGGTAGTATCTCATTGTTAGTATCCATGGCTACTGCTAATAAGTTTACTCCAAGGTATCGACTTTTCAAATATGCTCCGTCAACTATAATAATTGGGCGCATGCAAGTAATAAACGAACGAATATACAAAATAATATACACAAGAAATATAATCATTTAAATGTGAAATGCATACAACTAACAAAAATGAGTCAACAAAATGATAATGATTTACTAACCGCAGTACCAATGGCGATAAACAACAACTCAAAGCGTCCATCTCTATCTGTTTTGATATGAGTTACCGACCCATGATTTTTCAGCTTTAAATTGTGACAATAAGCCGACAGTTGGGCAAACGATGCTTCTGGCGACCCCCTCAACAATTCCAAGGCATAACATTTGACTCTCCAAGCTTGAGAATACGAGATACTAATCTTGAACCAAACATTCATGTCAGTCATAATTTCATGTCCCCGATGTACCTTGCCATTAAAAAACATTAACTCAGCCAGAAAACCACCCAACACCTTTTTGTTTGCCTATCTATGGTGAGGAAAAACTTGGGTTCTTGAACATGTATGTTTATCAATAAAAGTCCTAACTTGAAACATTTCACAATCTTTTATCCTCTTTGCAATCATACGCCACGTACAGTTTTTGTCAATCATACACCTTGTTTCGAAATGATCTTTGCTTGTTTTGTTAACTTTTAGTTGATAGCCATCTTCCACACATTTCGTATACAAAGCTATCTTCAAGTCTTCCTTTGTATCAAAACAAGCATCTTTCTTGATATGAATAACTTTTGTGTAACAATCAACTGTTATCTTTACCAACTCTTATTCTGGTATCTGAAGTAATTCTGGCATATTCCAATTATACTCTCGTGACATTTTCTTCTTTTTCTTTTCTTCGGGGACTTCTTATTCTTCTTATTCTTCTTCAAGGTTATATGAATTACAGAATGGATGTTCAACATGTTCATTCACAGTCGTAACTTCCTCCTTATTATCATCAACAACATCTTCCTCGACAGCGGCTGTTTCATCATTAAAATTTGGGTATTGACCAATATAAAAACCATTACATGCAGGGTCTGTTTCTTCTTCTGAAACATCATCAAAATCTGAGTATTGACCAAGATCAAAGTCTGGGTATTGACCAAGATATTGACTAGTACTCATAATTTTTTCTGTTGGCTCATAATCGTCTAACTGGTCAATACGAAAACTGGAATTTGGTGCTAAAAGTTGATTGAGATTTGGATTAGGAAAAGGTTGTGGGTTTTGAGATTGTGTTTGATATTGTGTTTGTTATTGGAAATGTGGTGAAACAAAATTTTATTGGTGATGAAATTGTGGTGGAACCATTAAATTTTGAGGTTGATAACAACGTTGTACATTGTGAGCACCATAAACTGGGGTTGAAGAACTTAGTAGATTACTACTCGCTACTGACCCAACTTCACTACTTCTAGGTTCAACAACATACAATGTAACATCATCTTCTTGCGAAACACTAATGTAAGCAATGAATCGTTCAACATCTTCATTGTCGGTTAACAAATAAACTTTACATTTTCTCTGATAAGATAGCCTAAATCCACTTAGAGGCTCTAAATTTAATTTCTTTGCAATACGTAACATTAGAGTTTCATAAGTTAATTTTTTTAATGACATTTTTAGTTGAAGATTCATGGGTAAAGGCACATATTGTAAAACACCATGAACATTCTCCCATGACCCTCCAAAACACAAATCTATCCAAACATGATCAACATTAGATGATTTCATTCTACAAATTATAAATTAATTTACTAAACAAACGAGCTATAAACTACATATCATCACTAACTTAGAGAAAAACATACCTTTATTAAGTTGATAGTTGATAATTTGGGAGAGAAATCATTGAAAAATTATATAGAAATAAAATTATGTAAAAAAAAATTAGAGATGGGGAAGGATGTCGTTGGATATAGGAACGGATGTCGCCGGAGAGAGTAATAGATAGAGATTGAATGAGTTGCGATTTAGGGATTTAGGTTATGAGTTGCTGCTGATGCGTAGTTATATACCCAAAACATCTGTGTTGCGAAACTAAAACCTGTTGCGAAATTAAATTCATGTTGCGAATTCAAAAATCGAGTTGCGAATTTGAAATTCAGTATTACGAATTTGAAAATCGCGTTACGAATTTAACTTCTGTATTGTGATTTACGAAAATGATCAACAAATTCGTAACGCGAACTTTAATTTTACAACTTAAATTTTAAATTCACTTTTTTTATAAATTCAAAAAAAATAATTAAAATTATATATTATAAAATATTTTTTTTGTCACTAAAATTATTTTATCTTTATTCAAACTTTGGAACTACCAAAGCGCTAATTCACATACCACTGACACACTACTTCCCTCCTCCTTCACTTGAAAGTTGAAAACTTCTCTCATTTATATATTACCCAGTCCCAAAGGTTGAAGCTTTGATTTTTCAAATCTAATCCAATCTATTATTAAGGAAAGGAAGTAACTTAGCAAGTGGGAACTTTGTTCTCAATCTCTTTCTCTCTCATCGTGTCACAGTACTGCAACTTCTTTTTGCTCATATATTTGCTTTATAAATAAATTCAACCACCATGTCCATGTTTGCTTCTTTTGCTTCCTTTTAAATCTCTTCACACGGGACGGGAATACTCCTTTTTGTCACCTCTCATTTCTCATTTATTACTATTTTCTCTGTTCTATACGTTTCCTTCAAGCTCTATCTTTAAAGATAAAGTACTTTTTTTTGTTTGTGGGAATAAATAAGATGGAAGAGATAAAGAGAGACTCCTGCAATGCTCTGCTAACTGGTCACAGCTCACCAGGTGGTAGGTAGAGCTTGTGGTTGATAGAGAGAAAGATGTTTTACTTGTAAAAGACCTTACTCACTTTCTTCTCCCTTTCTCTTTCGCTCTCTCTCAAAATCATACAAGAAATATACAGCAGGTGAACGTTATTTGGTTGTTGGTGTGTTTGATTTTTTTTCTATTATGGATACCTATGAAGCAACCAGAATTGTGTTCTCTAGAATCCAAAACTTGGAACCAGAAAACGCTTCCAAAATCATGGATCTACTGCTGATTCAAGACCATGGTGAGAAGGAGATGATTCGTTTAGCCTTTGGTCCTGAAGCTTCACTTCTCTCTGTGATACTCAAGGCCAAGAAAGAGCTTGGTCTTCCCTCTAACTCTCCTTCTACACCTTCTACTCCAGCTTCTCCTTCTCCTTTTCTCGCAAACAACCCGAACCCTGTTAATATTTCAAGGCAAAACTCATCTGCTTCAAGGCTCATACCATCTTCTCTCACCATCCCTACCAACCTCTCTTCTTCTTTTGGTACTTCTTCATGGAGTCCTTTGTCTGAACTACAGAACCCTGATGAGTTGATCAGTCCCAGCAGTGGCTCTTTAAATCCTTCTTCTTTTCCTTTGTATGGAAACGGGGAAGCCACTGATATGGTTGATGAGTTTCAACTTCAAGATCAACTAGCTTTCCTCAACGAAAGCTCTCCCAAAAACCATGATTTCTTCAACCGCCAATCTGGTGACTTGTCCTCTAGTTCAACGGCTGGTGCTTGTGGTATCACTGACTCCATAGGGTTCCCCTCGTACTGGGGAACCTCCTTTCACAGGAGGAGTAGCTCCGTGAGTGATATTTTGGGAGCTGATGACCCGGCTTCTGGGTTTGGGTGGAGACACTGTCTGTATTTTCTTAGAGGGTATTGTAAAAATGGGAAGAATTGCAGATTTATCCATGGTGGCCTTGGAGAGTATGGTTCAGTGGTTGCTGGAGCAGATGGTGCCACCATCGTAGGATCACCTAACAAGATCGAGATGGACCAGGCCCATGAACTACTCAGATCCAAATCAGCTCAGCAACATAGGTTGGCAGCTGCTTCACAGCTCATAGGTTCTATTTCTTTTCCTCCTTACTCCCTAAAGTGCATGAGCTCGTTCCTTCAAAAGCAACAAAATGATACTCAGAGGTACTTGGTAGTTGATCCCTTCTCTGTGTGCTATCTATTATGTAATACATAAGATCGAGTCTTGAGTTAAATATGTGATGTGTGGAAATGATTAAAGATTTCATTTTGGTTTGAAACTGTAGGGTTGCAGCAGCTGCTGCTTTAATGATGGGCGATGAGATGAACAAATTTAATCGATCCCGGCTCGAAAGAAGCAGCTTTTCAATAAACGGAGAAGCAGGCATGGTTAACCCTGCTTCAAGACAGATCTACTTGACTTTCCCAGCTGATAGCACCTTCAGAGAGGAGGATGTGTCCAACTATTTTAGGTATTTTGTTGAACACTCTACTTCTATGTTGGTTCAGCTTGGTAATTATATCTAAAACTATGCGTTTCTCCTTTGAAGTATATATGGACCGGTTCAAGATGTGAGGATTCCATACCAGCAGAAGAGAATGTTTGGATTTGTTACTTTTGTTTATCCCGAGACTGTGAAAATCATCCTGGCTAAAGGGAACCCTCATTTCGTTTGTGATGCTCGTGTTCTGGTTAAGCCTTACAAGGAGAAAGGAAAAGTCCTGGACAAGTACATGCGTCCTCTTTTCACTGTGAAATCTTTGCTCGGATGATTTACTTGGTCTAGATCTGTTAAAACCTACTTTGTTATCATTGCAGGAAACAGCAGCAAATTGAAAGAGGAGATTTCTCTCCTTGCGGTACTCCAACTGGCCTTGATTCGAGCCCCCGGGACCTATACGACCCTCAGCTCGGTAAGCATAAGTCATGGTCTATCTTCCTCGTTGTATATGTGATTGCCACGCTAACGATAACTGTGTGCACTGTAGGACTGAGGGCGTTTTACAATACCCAGGACTTGTTGTGGAGGAGAAAGCTGGAGGAGCAAGCTGATCTTCAGCAGGCGCTTGAGCTTCAAAATAGAAGGTTGATGGGCCTGCAACTCCTCGGTGCAAAGAAGAATCACCATCACAGGGCTCTTTCTAGTGGAAGCCCCATTCCATTACCTACGCACACTCCAAAAATGTTCAACCAGTCCCTTGTACTTCCTCAGTTTCACAACAGTCAAGAAGCTCCACAAGGTGGCTACACAATTTTCATTTCAAATATAACAATTTAATCTAGTCGTTGTTTTCCTAATTCATATGAAATGGCTTGGTATATCTCATTGCAGAGAATTGTTCTAGCCCTGTGGCAGTGGTATCCATGCATGCATCCGAGAAGCAAGTTGTGAGTACTGGTACTGCTGCGGGTAAAGAATCAGCCAGTGTTGAACAAAATGATACTGGCAAGGAGAGCCCTAATCTTGAAGACGGTAGCCTGCCAAAAAGGTATTCAAGTAATCAAACTTTGTGCATTCAGATTGAGATTGGGACTAAATCAATAACAGCAAATGGCACATTTTTTGCGTCCAGATCGAACTTATGCATCTATTGTATCAAATTGCAGTTTGGAGCACAACCTTCCTGATAACCCTTTTGCATCTCCTAAAAAAGCTTCTGGAGAGTACTTGTCTGCATTCTCTAATACTGAAGCGGATAGGGACACATCAGTCTCGGCTTCTTCTATAACAAATAATTGGGTCCCTTCAACATTGCTTCCAGAAAATAATGCATTAGACATGGCATCATTCAACTCTTTCAACTGCCAAATGCCCAGGTACATGATTATTATCATTAATTTTCATAATACTATCATCATGATTATAAACGGAGTCTTTACATGGTTAAAATGATTTGTAACATATGAATATTGCTTCCATATTCAGGTTCTCATCCGGACATGGGACCATCAGCATGTACGCAGGCACTGGCGGCCCAACTTGCCCTGTTGGAATTTAGCATCCTTTGCAAAGGTAAATGGATAGCTTCAGATTCTCTCTTCAAAGCATCATCTTTGTTTTACTTTTGTTCGCACCTATCGTATTATTGTTAAATGAGACCCGCTTCACTTTACAGGTTAGAAGACTGAAGGTATAAATCAAACAACATAGTTTCACATCAGAGATCTAATAGAAGAGCCAACCACCACTATACTCTATTTACAACCATACAAAATGCGTTCATAAAAAGGCAGTGAAGGAAGTGGGACAGCTATTCCTTCTCTTTTGTTGTAATAATGTTTACCTATTGTTTCAATAGTTTGGACCACATGTTAAAAGAAAGCATAGAAAGAAAAAGGGATCACCCAGTCAATGTGTATCTGTAACTCCCCAATGGTTTCCCTGTAAGAAACAAGGAGGAAAAGCCCTTGTTTAGTTCATTTCTTTTCTAGCTTAGTCTATGCTTGTACAGAGCAAGAAGGGAAACCAATCCATAGGCAAAATAGTAAGAACATGCATATATTGCATTGTGTATGGCCCTTTTAGGGTAAAAATGAAGAACAATGGGAGAAGAATATGTTAAAATCTCAGTTCATAGTAATCAAAGATCATGTGGTGCAAGAACTTGTTTGATTGTGTATTAGAATCTTACATGCACATGCAATCGGCATAATAGAAATGGCACTACTGGCATTATTGATTGAGGGTAGGATCATTGTATGACATTCATTTGAGGGGGAAGAAACAGGAAGGTCCACAAAGACGAACAATCGCATGGGGTGACTAGAGCTGACTAGTACAAGTGGGTCCAAAGCATTGTTTTAGAGATTTAGTAAATAATTAATATTAATCTATATAAATGCCAGGTTGTTAGTGGGGTCCTCTGCATCACCACCCACCCATTTGGCCTCATTTCACTGATACCACTTTGTTTGAAATACTAATCGCTCTCCTCTCTCCCTATTTGGTTGGGGGAATGTGAGATTCACATAAGAATAGAATCCACATTATTTCGTTTGGTTGGTCGAGAATATCATTCCTGATAATCTTACATTACTAGTAGTAGATTTTTTGAAGTATATTACCGGGAATGTCATTACCTTCCTTTCTTTATGTATTGTTGGATTACTGACGTTTTGGACTAAAATACCCTTATTTTTTTTTTCAAAAATGTCATTATTCTGTCATTAAATAATAAAAATTCTACGAATGTTAAATTACAAATTTATCCTTAAATTATTTTAGATTTACAAAAAATATATATATAATTAAAATTTTATATGAAGTACAGAGGTTAAAATAAAATTGTATCATTTTATTAAACCTTTTTATATTTTCAATTTTGCAAAAAAAATTATATAAATTTTATGAATTTAATTTTTTTAAAGAAAACATATAAATATTTTCTAACTTGTTAAAAAACTAATATATAATAAGGACAATTTGGTCAAATATACATTCCAATAATCTTTTATTCCTTTAACCAAACACGGTAATCTTACATTCCTGCTAAACCAACCAAACACAAAATACAACATTCTCAGTAATTCTATTCCCTAGTAATCTTTTATTCCCACCGACAATCTTACTTTCTGTGAACCAAACGCACCCTTAATATTTTGGCTCTTGCCTTCTACCCTTAGACATTAAGGGTTTAAGGATGATATTAATATTAATGATTGCCTTCAATTTCCTTTTTTTTTTTTTTGGGGGGGGGGGGTTCTCTTTCATTAGTTCTAACTTCATTGTGCCCTCGAAGTCTAATGCAAAAGGAAAAGGAGGCAAGCATGCAAGTGGTAGGGTAAAGTTGATGAATACAAGCCAAAAGAACATCTTTTCCATAGTCATTTTCCCTTTCCGCAAAAGAGAATTTTACTTTTCTCAAAGGAACTTGTTTGGTTTCCGGGAAATTTACGGATCTATAATCATTTACAGAGATGGTCAAATTCAAGTGTTCAACTTGATCAAAGGCCAGTTGTGTTTAAATGAATAAAAAGTTCATCCAATGGTTACATTTGCTTGCGTATCTTGATATTAAGAACTGGTTATTACAAATGGATAACAAAAGTAAGAGAACCTACACTAGTCATCATCTTTCTCTTATTAAGGCTGATTACCAAGAAGAGATGGTCTATAGAACACATGAGTCTGTGCTATCTCGATACGATCTTTCGGGTCATGCATGGTTTCGTCCCTTAATGCATCAAGGATGGCCTGCAAAGGGAACTCCCTGAACATTCATACCAAGTTCCATCAGCTCACACTTATGCAAGTGTTCTTATAATGAAAAACATCACCTAGCGAGTGGGAGAAAAGAAATTGAGTACCTTGTGATGAGTATTTTATATAGCACCTTCAAGATGGGGCAAAGCTCCACAGGAGCTACAGATTTGTTTTCTTCGGGGTGCAAGACGCTTAAGCTGGATTGACTAAGAAGCTCATAAAAGCCTTTCACAGCAGAGACACCCTGCCATAATAATGAGATTAATGTTTATAAAAGGAATTAAATGACGGGATCGGATAAGACGTAAACAAAAGGAGTTAGAATCTGGTTCTATTACTAAACAGTAATTACAAATGCGACCAATTTATGGTTATGCAATTGACAATGACTATGCTAAAGCATGTGCGCGAGGTCCGAGGGAGCTCCAAACTGATGAAGAAACGGAGATGTAGTTATCCAAGTTTATACTACAGCAACAAAATAAATAAAATGGCCCATAAAACCAATGGGAAAATTATATTTACCAGTCCAGGAATGGTCTGGGATAATATACTTAAACATGCTCAGAAGCTAATGCAAAAGTTTTAAATACATGCCTATAGACCTCCACAATCATTCTAGATATTGAAAGCAAGCATTTTTTAGGCAATAAAGACAGGAACATGCATGCCTGAAAAATACAAATAACAGAATAAGTTTCCAGATCACAAATTAATTAAAGAATCATCTTTCAAATGTTCTCAATAGTTTCTTTAACAACACCATTTTCCCCCTATTATGCAACACAGGTTGTCTGCATACAGAATTCAGCAGACATCCACTGATCTCGATTTTGAACAACACTTACAATTTTAATAATTTGCTTCAAGTCAGACTAGTATTAACTCAACTCTACCCAAACCAACCTAAAAGGCTAAAACTGTTTGCTCAAAATGCTCCACGGAACAGAAAAGCTCTTACCTGAATCATACCCTTCCCCTTGATGCTATCGCCCATCTCAAGGTTCAATCCCCCTTGGGCCAACTGTTGCCCATACCATGCATTACGACCTTTTAACAGGGTTACATAGGTGTCAGCCAACAAAGGCCCAGCAAGTTTTTCAGGCTCTTCTGCCAAGAGATGAGTGATAAATATCATCTCAGATGTACACAGTGCAAAGTATACAGACTTGCTGGTGGCACTCTCATTGGTTAGAGCTGCTACCATTCCTGTGGAATCAATATAGGAAATTAACTTATAAAGATTTGAAATCTCAACTTACTGCTGAAATTGAAATTGAATATTTAGTTCAAAGATAAGTTCTTTGGAATCATGAATATAGTACACAGGTGTTGAGCCAATGTCCTTTAGCATCTTGGAAACTGCGGAGTATAGGTTATCGAGTATCAAGTAATATCTACCACTTAAAGACCAAACAAGTCAAAATCACACTACCTGCAACTGCATAATGAAAGTAGGACATTGGCTCAACACCTTTGGTTTTCTTTTTATTGGGTCCTGTTTTGATCAATCATTAGCTGGAATTGTGTTGATAAAATCATTAAATTGGATATTCATTATCATTAAACTAATATTGCCATACAGCCTATCGTGCGAGGTGCATGACTTAGCATGCTTGCAAAAAACTAGATCTTACCAGCTCCAATGGCATAGACATTCTTCAAACCACCCATCACTTCATGAGTAACAAGATCACCATTGTCCCACACAATAAAATGGGGCTGCCTTAAGAACTTTGCCAAAGGTTTCCTCCACTTTTCAGCCCCACAAATTCGAGCATTAGCATATTCTTTATTGTATATCTCTGAAGCTATATTAGGTCCTCCGAGATAGAGAATGTTCTCAATGGGGATTCCAGCTGCAAGAACAGGAATCAAGATTCATATTGATATGAATTTTATTATGAAATTCAGCAAATAGGCTAAAACAGTTCAGGCAAAACTTCAAGAAACGAAACACAATGCTTACTTGCTCGATTAATCATCAGAGTGGGAGTTATTATGCGAGGTTCAGGCACAAACTCAGCTTCTATACCCTTTGCCAGAGATATGATTATGGGCATTGTTATTCTTTCTTTCCAATACCTTCTAATTTCCTCGAATACCACACGAGTTTCAGTTGATGGCAAGCCGTTAATTACAATATCAGCATCCCAAACAGCCTCTTGCAAGTTCGTAACAACCTTTAAAGGGCAAACCGGAGTATCAATCATATTCAAGCAGAAACCATCTTTCAAAATCTCATCTGCATACAGAGTCCTATCACCTAGTCTTGCCTCAACGTACTTCAAGTAAGCACACCGCCTAATCAGTCTCCTCAACACATCCTCCCTCGAATTGATCACTTCAAATAAGTGCTCAGCGGTAGCCTTATCAACTATCTTTCCAGGTCTCCTCCATATTCTTATTAGAACCTTATCTCTCAGATGACCATAACTGTCTTGCAGCAAAGCAGTGAATACACTACCCCAAGCACCTGCCCCGACACCAACAATTCTCAACGGATCGCCTTCGGTTTTGCCCATCAGATGTCGAAGCTCATCAAGTTTCTCTTCTAAAGAACCATTGGAGCTCTGAATCAAGCCATTGGCATGGGAATTCTGAGTCATCTCTGCACTAGAGCTTGGCATCTTTCTCCCTAGATTAAAACTAAATGTAACAACAAATATCCCAAGCTTCTAATTCAAGAACTATAGGCCTGCGAAATGGAAACAAATTCAGAAGAAAAGCTTATATGCCATTTGAAACGGTTCAATCTTCCAAGAATGCATGTCAATTAGAAAAGACCAAAACCAAATAATCAACAACAATTCAATCTGAAATCTTTAGCCCCTCTTTGACCCAATTTTTTTTTCTTTCTAATTATGGGAGGTCGGCCGTGGGAAAGGCAACAACCAAGAACCCACATGGTATGTTATCCAACAAGGCAAAATCGAACTTTGAAAACTCAGGCAGATAGTTACTTTTGGCAATCTACTATCTACCAAACTACTAGAAACAAACAAATAAAAAAGAGAAGGAAAGTGATAGACCTCTTTTATGTCGGCTACTTCAAATAGGTAAACATCAATTTGGACCTTTCTTTTTTAGGCCAGTTTTATGCAAATGAAAATCATTTGATGGAAAAGATCAAACCTTTCGTACAATTCAGATGAAATTACAAAATGGGTACTCAAGAATGAGATTGATCAGTACAAAGAGAATGGGAATGAAGAAGTTGGTTGAGTTGAAACTTTGAGAATTGAATGAGAGACAAGTCAAAACAGGGGGAAAAATGAAGAGGCGTGAGCTTCAAAGAAATAATGATTGCGGATTGCGGATTGCGGATTGCGGTTACCTTAACATAGCTTTAACCCAGACCCAGTTCAGTTCCTTCTTATTAAGACGATGTCTAGAACTAGAAGGATTCCTTTGCTGATTTCATACATGTATGTAAGTTGAATAAAATTGTGTTGAATTAAATAAATTTATTCAATTTTTTATTTAATTTTTTTTTATAAATCAAGCAATTTGAGTAAGAGATAATTATTATTTCTAAAGGTTGTAGATTTAAATATGATATATGTAAAGGTATTTAAACGTTTATTATCAAATTATTAAATATCTTTTGAATAAATATTATATTTTAATCACTTTATACTAATAATTTTTTTTATGAATCGGTATATATATATATATATATATATTTTGTAAAGGTGTGTCATGTAGGTAGCGCTTTTTAAAAAACATAAATTTTAGGTTGAATCTTTACTAACTTGACAAGTTTTTAGGACGGAGTCTCTAATGTTGACATCTTTCATGACCAAAATAAAAGAAATGAGAATAATCAGTCATAAACGTAAATAATGACACTAGGGGTGAGCATGAGTCATGTTGGATCGGGTTTCTGGTTAACCCGATTTAATCCAAAAATTAAATATCCTCCATCTTATTCGAAAAATATACATCCTCCACTCAACCTAATTTTTTGAGATAAAATATGAATCTGACTCGAAATAATATTTTTATTCAATAAAAATAGGAATTTAATTGAAAAAAAATAATATATAGAGGGCTATTATTACAATTATCCCTAAATATATAAAGTAAAATTATATTTTTTCGGGTCGAGTATTTTTCACTCTAAACCGAAACACAAAATTAAAAAAAATCCAACCCGATTGGTGTTGAACCCGTCGAGTTTAAGTCTCATGCCTATGCCTAGATGACACACATACATAAACTTTGTCTTCCATCACTCAATGTATATATGTTTAGAATGTTACACTTAAACACTTGAAAAACTCATATATAAACATTGTGACATTCTAGAATTTTATGGTTTAAATTTATTGATTTTGAGTTGTCAAAAATAATTTTTAAACTTAATCAGACTTATATCCATACGACAGTCAAATAAATTATTAAGTTAAAATCTCGAGTATTTCAGAATGCAACAATTAAAATTTTGCTCTTCTTTCTCCCCTATTCATTATTGACATTAAGAAGAAAATGCTCTACATCAATGAATCAAAAGAAATATTAAAATATGGGTGTGGGACATTTGGGAAGGAAAGTTTTAGGAAATGTTTGCATAAAACTAAAATGGTGTTAAATAATTTTGCCCATATTAAAAATTTTGAAAATTAAATGATTAAAATAAAAATACATTGAAAGTTTGGTGACTAACAAAATAATTTACCCCTAACATTTAATATTATGATCTTGTATAAGGATTATTTACCGTCAATTAACACCTCATTAATAATGTAAATAAAATATTCAAAAGGTCTTCAAATAAATTTGAATCTTTGTACTTAAGACTCAAATGAAAAGAGAGAGAGAGTCAAATGTTATTTTATTTATAATTAAAAGATAGTGTATAAAAACATTATTTGAGTATAAAATATTAAGGATATGTTTTTTTTATTGGAAATATTACATCAAATCGATGAATCAAAATATATGATGAATAGTTTTAGGTATCTATACAATATTTTTTTAAAAATATTTTAATATATAATATATTTTTCAAGATTTACTTAATTCTTCTATTATAAAAATACAATTCTTATTTATAATGGTCTATAAATAAAATTCTCAATATTACTTTGTTTAAATAATTAAAATATAATTATTTCTAAATTACCAACAATCTCAACGATTGTCTACACGAAAGACCAAGTGTTGGAGTATATTCTACGGTAAAAACATTTGTTCCCTTCTTTTTGATGTAATCTATTCTCCATAATTATCATATAGCAAAGGGATCTCCATCCATTGCATGCAACACTCTTTCCATTATATATATATTGTATATGTATATATATGAACAACACCAGATGCATAATTATATATTACTATACCAGGGATAAATTTATATAATCTTATGAAGTAAAATTATGTTATCAATTTAAAGTATAAATTAATAAATAGTTAGTCTAATGAGATAATACACTAGATTTCTTAAGCAATGTGAGGAGTGCGAACTCTAACGTTTGCAAATGGAACAAACTGAGTTGGGAGAGTTATCCCATCTTAGGCCTGTGTAAAATTTAATCTGAATTAATCGATTAATAAATCAGATATTGATTTAATCTAAATTTTAAAAGAAATAATCATAAATTAGTACATGATGTGATATTTTAATAATTAATCAAATTGTGGTACGTGATGTTTAATGACATCGTCATCTTTACCTATCAATATCAAATCAATAACTTAATTGGGTATTGAAATTCCATATTGTTGATTATTATACTTTTGCCGATTGATGTCAAAATTTTCTGTCTTCATAAAAGGATAGAAAAATGATGAATAAAGAAAATAATATTTTAGTTTTTTTATATTGATTGAAATGTTTTATAATAACTTTTAATATGTTTTTTTTTTAAATCCCGAGATAGGGTGATAATATTATGGAAGAGGTACAACAGAGATCAACACATGTACCAATTAAAAAAAATATTAAATTCAAATATCAATTTTTATAGCAAATTATATTATTGTTATTTCTGGAAATATTTTGTATTAGAAAAACGTTGGCACAAACTTTGCATGAATCGGATGGAAAGAGAAGAAGGTAAGTAGCACGCAATGCTCTACTTTCTTTAAAATAATAAAGTTTGAATTATAGCGTTCGATTGTTATTTTTTTTTTTTCAATTTAGTTAATCAAAATACAATATATTGTCTTTGTGAATGCGTTTAAGTTAGGGATATTATTTTTTAAAATGTGTTTAAATTTATAATCTTTATATTAATGTAACAATAATTATATTTACTTAATTAAAATTCAATTGATAAAAAATATAATTTAATAATAGTGAAATATTTATAATACTTATTATCAAGGATGAATTCAATGGATGTTGAGAGTTGAGACAGTCACATCTCTTAAAATTTAAATTGTGATATTTTATATTTTCTATTAGTAGTTAATTTCATATTCTTTAAAACTGTGTAATTTTACTTTCTTTAGATTTTTTTATATAATTACTTTTAAAATTTATACTTCAATATAATATTCGTTCTTAATTAAATATTGTTTGAAATTTAACTCAGAGAGAAATGAATATTATTAGTGAGGTTGAAAATGAAGGCTAACTGATTTGGGACGAGTTAGTTGGGGCGAGCAGTTTGCATGGGAGAGAGATAAAAGATTAGAGTGTATTTTTTTTACTTATTAAATCTTTTTGGTAGTTTGAGCATGATACTCTAGAAAATGAGTATGAATTTTACTAGTTAAATAGATCGTTAATTTTATATATTTCGAGTTCAAGTATGAAATTTGTGAAAATGTTTAAATGTTTATTCTCAAATAATTGAGGATCTTTCAAATATATATTATTTTATAATCTCTTAGACTAATAATACAATTATTAAATATATTTTGTAAAATTATAATTAAATACTTATGATCAGATTCAGTTATTATAATAATTAATAAATATTCGATTGATTGTTTATTTAAATCTTTTATAATTTGAATAATTGTAATTAAAATAAATCATTATAATGAATACGCCTAATTAATAATCGACTTGAATCTGAAAATAGCTACTTATAATGAAATTTAAACTTGAAACATTAAAATTTTCGAGACTCTTTACCCTTAAGTCTTTCATAATACTTAATCGATCTGTACTTTCTGGAACCCATAAAATAAAAAGCATTAAAATTCATAAGATTTAAACCGAATTAAGATTTAATCAGAATATGTTATTAAAGATGAATAAAATTTGATTTGATTGGGAAAAAATGATTTTATTATTCATTTGACGTTGAAAAATTAAATTTGACTAGTGATTTTAAATTAAACTGAAAAAATTTAAATAAAATTTGAGTTATAAAATAAGACTTAAATAATTAAAAAAACTCAGAATTTTCAGTAATTAGTAGTTTGATTTTTAAATAGAAGTTGAATCCATCAACTCTAGATGAAATATGTACATCACATATGGAAAAATATATATGATTATAGAAAATTGTTTAAATTAGAACCAAATAGTATTATAACATTAGAAATATTTATAATTAAATTTAAATAAAACCTTTACTCAATTTAACTCATTTTTTAAAAATAAAATATGAATTATGAAATAAGACTTATTAATATAGTTAAATTTAAAAAAATTAATTTGATTAGATTTAACTCGATCGAATAATCCGTTGAATACTTTAATTTGATGTGGTTAATTTGTGATAATAAAGAAAAATGAGAGTTAGAAAGATGAATTGAAATTGAGAAATAAAGCAACAAACAAGAGTGGGAGACGATATATTGAGGAATCGCGTGAAGCTGGTTGGGTTACAGGCAGGCATTCAGGCACGCAGGAAACAATAAAAAAACCATCTCTGTCTCTTTCCCTGTCAATACATTCATACATAAAAACATCCCCAGCTTCAACCAAATTCTTCCATTTCTGTCTCTAAATCTCTGCAATAACTTCTTTCTTCTCTCCCACTTTTTTAAAAAGAACATTTATTGATCTTGTTTTGTTGCTGTCTGGAAAAAAAAGGAATGAAGGTGTACGAGGAGAGTGGTTGCTTTGATCCCCACTCCATCACAGATTGTCAGGACCTGATGGGTTTGCCGGCTGCCACCAACTGTCATAACAGTTCCGAAGACAACCTCAATCTCTCTTCTTACAACCACCACCATCACGAGGATGTCTCCGCCACCATGGATATGGAAACCCACCAACACTATCTGCTTGATAATACTACCACCTACAACACCAATGCTCATTTGATTCCTTATCTAACCCAGGAGCTTTCTTACGATCAGTCCAATTGGGAAACTTTCAATATGGTCCATTCTTCTTCTGCTGCTGCTGAATCCGCCGCCGCCGCTAGTGGCGGCGGTGGTTATACTCCTACACCTGACCTTCTCAGCCTTTTCCATTTACCCAGATGTTCTTTCCTCCCTAATTCCTCCATTTCCTTTGAAACAGCACCTGGCTCCCCCCCTGTTGTATACGACCCGCTTTTCCATCTCAACCTGCCCCCTCAGCCGGCTGTTTTCAGGGAGTTGCTGCAATCTCTGCCGCATGACTACACCGTACCGGCTGACGACAAAGATGCAGCTGGGGTTGGTGGTCTTTATCACGATGGGGACAATGGCATAATTGAGTTCACCAGGGACATCTCCAGGGCTGGTCGTACCAAAAACAGAGATAAAGCTGGCAAAACAACCAAACACTTTGCAACCGAAAGAGAGAGGAGAGTCCATCTAAATGACAAGTACCAGGCTTTGAGGACAATGGTCCCTAGCCCCACAAAGGTACCCTAAACCAACAACCACTCCATCATTAAAAAAAATGCTTGTTTCTTTTATGATAAATTGCACTAAAAAAGTTTCAATCTTTTGGTGTTTCTTGTTGTGTTTCATTGGCTATAAAACCAAGAATGATAGAGCATCCATAGTTGGAGATGCTATAGACTACATCAAAGAACTTATTAGAACGGTTCATGAGCTTAAAATACTGGTGGACAAGAAGCGATGCGGCCAAGATAGGAGCAAGAGGCTTAAGGTTGAAGATGCTGCTAGTGCTGCTGATGCAGGTGATGTTGATTGCAAGCCTCTAGGTGATCCAGACCGATGCTACAACACTTCTTTGAGGAGTTCTTGGCTTCAAAGGAAGTCGAAGGATTCCGAGGTTGATGTACGCATCATCGACGACGAAGTTACCATCAAACTTGTTCAGAGGAAGAAGATCAATTGCTTGCTGTTCGTGTCCAGACTCCTTGATGAACTTCAGTTGGATCTCCACCATGTTGCCGGTGGAAACATTGGTGACTATTACAGCTTTCTTTTCAACACCAAGGTAAAATATTTCCCTTATACATACATATTTTTTCTCCCACCATAGGCGCATGTTTGACGAGTTTATTTTGCAGATATACGAAGGCTCGTCTGTTTATGCTAGTGCCATAGCTAACAAGCTCATCGATGTCGTGGATAGACAGTATGCAGCCGCTCCACCAACCAGTAACAATTCACTGTAGTTTGCCAATGATGGAAAGGGTTCATCTTTTATGTTTCTCTTTAAGCTGTTGAGTTTAACAAGCATTACTTTGAATAGTACTGTTAATCAAGTTTTCTTCCATGCTACTTTAGTATTGATATAGATGCAATAGATATGGTTTTTACGTTTAACAGTTTAACGAAAATGAATTGAGAAACTGTGATCCTCCATTGATTTTCCTGGTGATGGACACCCACAATTTTAGTACAAAAACTGGATTCATTCATTCAATTGTTTAAGCACAAAGTAGCATCCAGTGTTCAAAGTCGATACCTAAAGGTGCTTTCTTGCACCGAACTATGCAACAAACAGGCGGAGCTCAAGCTAAGATCCTTTAAGGTTTGCTTCGAATTCACAGGACCCGACATGCCATTTAGTCTAGGGGATCTCTGCTGATAAGCACTAGTCCTTGTAATTGAAGATACAAGGCACAGTTTTCTCTTATATGGTGAGTAGCTTTCAGACTGAGTATCGAAACTCACAGGCCTTAGCTTCGGTGAACTCATCGATCTTACCTTGGCCTTTGCAGATTGTGTAGCGACCATGTATGTTGGAACTACAGGAGAGGCTGAAAAACAGTTGTCTTCTCCCAAAGAAGACTGCTTCTTGTGAAACGATCTTTATTGAAACGGTAGCATCAGAGAATCCAATCCTTCCAAATTATAATGATCTCAGCCTTATCTGTTTAGCTCTGTTTTCTTCCGTAGGCTGCTTGCGATTTGAAGTCCAAACCTTCGAGTTCTTTACTTTTACCGACTTGAGTATCCACCCATTCATCTAACCAGTACTTTAACCTTCCATTACCCTTATTTTGCTCTGATTCTGCTGACTTCTGCAATTTTCTTTTCAAACTCCTTAGCACAAAGCACTTGGAAAATAAAAAGTTGAAGGCAGATACTCGAAGCCTTTACCCGATGAACATACGAGTATTCTTTTATTCGCTCTCTTTTGATTGCAACTTCTTTCTTGCTTAAAACATTGCATCTGCCTCTTCCTTTTTCAAAATGCTATCATCCCATCTTCTTTGGCTGTCTATGTCCACCAGCAATTTTATTTAAACATTTCATCAAGACACAAAATTGAATGGTAATTGTGCCATAAGAGTTTGGAAAATACCTTAATATCTTGGCTTGCAATGTCACCAACTGTTTGGTCTCATCATATTGCCAAGTGCCTTCCTCCACTTGGAATCTCCTTGCACAAACCTGAGACTGAATGTTCAGTATCGACTGTAAGCATCTTAGAGTAGTCATTGCTTGTCATCTCACAGCCGTTCCGCAGATGATTGCTTGAAGCTTCACTATCCCCTTCAGCGCCCACAGAGCTTTCCTTGCCTGCACAAGTTAGTAGTATGCAAATTTTGTTGTGTCAGCTAAGTTTTCTTTCAAGAAACTAGAAAACAACTAAAGGAAGGATGGAACAGGAGAACTTACAAGGTAACCTGGATTTCTTTGGTTGCATCTTCTTGGATAGTCCTCTAAGAGGAATCAGGTTGAACATTCTTGGTTTGTTCATCACATATATACTCGGATTGATGGGTATCGGCGAGCGGAACAATCTCGGCCGCAACCTGAGCGGCTGAAACCACTTCTTCGGCCACAATATGCTCATCCTTTATTGGTGCTGTCAACCTTTTGGTTCTTGAGCTTCCTAGCATCCATTTCCTCCAGTTCTCCTTCTGAGAAACAGATGCCATAAGGGATAATTTACATATAAAAAACTGGGGAACATTAGCAAATAGCAAAAGAGTAACCTTTTCTGTTTTTGCAATTGTCTCAATGAGGAAGAACATCTTCACTAGACTGAACCAGCTCTTCTTCTTAGCCATTGTTTATTTTTATACCAAATACCAATAAAAGTGGGGATGAAGGGATTTTCATGAGATAAAACTGAAGAAACCCAAGTATTTATCCTTAAAAACTGAAGCCACAAACACCCAAAAGTAGGTTAAAATCTAGTCACGTGTACAAATAAAGATCTGTCCAATGATTCATAGTTTTCTATCTTTTTCATGTTTTCATCTGTTCAAAGTTGTAACTTATAAAAGAAGGCTGAGATATACAATATTTCATGGAGGGAAAGCTCTTCAATGAATTATGAGAAAGTGTCATTGTAATTATCCTCAAGTCATAACAGATATTTCAATATCTTTTGGTTCTTGACCTTCCGAGCATCCATTTCCTCCTGTTGTACAACATTCTTCGGCCACAATATGCTCATCCTGAATTATGAGAAAGTGTCATTGTACTTATCCTCAATAACCATATTCTTGTTTGGTAATATGATTGGTATATCAATTGTACCACAACTCGAAAGCTGAACATGTTCCGGATGGAGTTAAGTGATTTCCTAAGCTTAACAGCAGCCAATATGTCTGGTTTGCATTTTTTTATCTCTTATTGAACTTGTTGGTAAGTTCCTCATGGCAGCGCTTGGTCGGTCTTACATGGAAGAAGTTTGCCGTTTCCAGGAAAGTGAAAGCAGCCATAAATTTCTGTAGGCATTAGCTGCACCGAAAGCAAAATTGACAATTTCTTTAGAATCAGACAAGCACACGTCCCAATCAGAGACAAGTATACGGGTGTTCTTAGGGAAGACTAGATGCACTGGATATTGGAAAAAGTATCTTCTTCCATCGATGCGTAGAACAAGTCAAAGATGGCTGCTTCTATTTCTTAACATGATTGTATAATCAACTAGGGGCGACAGAGAAAAGTCAAAAACATGAAAAACACGATGAAATCCAAATCAAACTGAATAAATTAATGGTTTCTGTTAGCTTAGGGCATAGCTTCCGTATTCATCGTCCTTGTCTTAACCAAAACATGTTTAGTTTCGGAGTCTGGTCCTTGTTTCGGGATGTCTTTGGTTAACTGAAGCTGCAACCAACATGCTTAGACATGGTGATAAGCTCAATCCATCTGATTTTCTTGTATCCCAAGATGGAGCTGTTCGCTTCGGCTTCCACAGACAAGATTATGACCATACATGGGATGACAAACAATTTGGATATTATTTGGCTATGTGGTACACCGAGGGCATATTTAATCATTCGATCTGGTTGGCTAACTGAGACCATCCCATCGCAGACGATTCCGGAGTTCTCATCGTAGATGATACCGGACAGAAAATTAATCGCACCGGTGGGGATCCGATTCAACTTTTCTTACTTCAGTCTACCTCTATGGCCATCAACAGTACCGGTACGAACCCGTGTTACACGATTCGGGAAATATTGTTTTGCAAGGTACAAACCTAGGAAACGAGGAAAACTTAGTATTGTGGCAAAGCTTTGGTCATCCAACTGACACTTTCCTGCCCAAGCCTATGAAATTGGGGTTCATCCATGGGAGAAATCTGTCACTTACATCTTGGTTGATTGATTCGATCCCGGCGTCAGGTTCATTTACACTGGAATGGGAACCTGTAGGAAATCAGTTAGTTGCTTGGCTTAGAGGGAGGATTTTGTGGACAACTGGTGAAGGTTTGAGAGATTTTCAAAAGAGGCACCCCTTGGATCCATTAAACATGAACTACAATTTCACTTATGTTTCTAATACAAATGAGCAGTATGTTCATTATACGCCTGTCGTTGATCAATTTACACCTGAAGAACTTCGGAAAAATGCCAGGCTATTGTTCGACGGTAGTTTAAGAGACAGCGGAAACCAGTTACTCTTATTCAGTTTGAATGCATGCGATGGCGATAGCAATGAGTGGTTGTGAGAGATGGGAAGGACCAAAGTGCAGATACAAAGGTGATAAGTACGAAGAGAGATCGATAAGAACTACACATAGAGATTCTATCAACAATACACTAATTGGGAACACCAATCTTTCCATAAACGACTGTAAGGACATATGTTGGAATGACTGCAATTGCTTGGGAGTCAATGTGATGAGGGACCTCGGTTGTGTATTTCTTTCGGGGCCTTATGAAGAAGGTGTGTTGAATGGACAATCATTCCAAGTTATAATCCGCAACCGTCCCAGTAAGTTTAAAATCACTCATGTTCCCACCTATAACATCTCCTGGTTCAATTGGATGGTATAAAGACAATCAAATTCATTAGTACTGCTGTTTTTGTACATTGATTGCGGGGTGAGAACTTGGATATGGATAGTAATCTCTATAGCAATCGCTTTAACGATCATAGTACTATTTTCGACCATGTTTTATTTGAGAAGACAAAGGCGAGCTAGAGAGGAAGGTACTAAAACGAGGAAAACCATTTGATTCTTTATGTAAACTTGAAACTTTTATCTAAACTTCAACTTCGCTTTGAACAGAGAAGTACCTACTTGACTTAATGACTTCAGAAGATGCAAGTGACATAAGGGAGCTTCAAACCGGAAACAAAGGTCACAATGTAAACATATATACAGCAGAAATGATTATGTCTGCTACAAATGGCTTCTCACCAGAGAATTTGCTCGGAAAAGGGGACTTCGGACCCGTTTTCAAGGTGTCTGCCAATCCCCAGTAGTGAATTGTTGAGAACGATTTTCATCAATCTGTCTATGACATTTGAAAACATGTTAATCATCAGGGAATACTGGTTGATGGACTAGAAGTGACAATAAAGAGATTATCAAGAGGATCAACGCAAGGGCTAGTGGAGTTCAAAAATGAGCTTATACTTATAGATAAACTGCAACACACAAACCTTGTGCGGCTCTTAAGCTTTTGCGTTCAAGGGGATGAGAAAATGCTTGTCTATGAGTACTTGCCTAATAAAAGTTTGGACTCCATCTTTGGTTAGCAACTCTTTAACCATTTCTCAGAAAGCTGATGCCGGTTTCTGTGTTTTGTGTTTTAACCAGTGCTTTTTGTCCGACAGACAATCAAAAAGGATGCTATTAGATTGGGATAAGCGATTTACCATCATTGAAGGGATAGCTCAAGGACTACTTTATCTTCACAAATACTCTAGACTAAGAATCATTCACAGAGATTTGAAGCTGAGTAACAAACTGCTTGACGAAAAGGATTTACAAAACAAATGAAGCCGGAACAAATGCGAACCGGATTGTAGGCACATGGTAAGTGAACACTTTCTGTTACAACCAGAGTTTTACCGGTATCACCATGTCCCGGAACCTGGTTGTTGCACTTGATATACCAATCATATTACCAAACAAGAATATGGTTATTAACTGTAAGTTTGATGAACTAATGCAGTGGCTACATGTCTCTAGAATATGCAATGGATGGCATATTCTCTGAAAAATATGATGTTTATAGTTTCGGAGTTTTGTTGTTGGAAGTCGTCAGCGGTCGGAGAAACACAAGTCGTTTCGAGTTCGACCGTCCACTTAACCTGGTTGGATATGTAAGTTCATATCACATTCTCACAGTAATTAGCTTTAATGCAGGTTATTTAAACTGTAAATGACTGTTGTTTACAGGCATGGGAACTATGGAAACATGGTGCAGCACTAGAACTAATGGATCCGAGTTTAAGAGATTCATGTCCTAAGCAATACCAGGTTTTAAGGTGCATTACTTTGGATCTGCTATGTGTGGAAGATAATCCGTCCGATCGGCCAACGATGTCCTATGTTATTTCAGTGCTGCACGGAGAAATGCAGTTGCCGTTGCCAAAACATCCTGGATTTTCCACAGAAAGTAGGATTGTGGAAGCAAATGTGGTGGACAAAGAGATGGAAAATTACTCGGTGAACGGCCTAACCATCTCTACCATGGATGCAAGATGATTAAATTAAATTCTAAGCATACCAAAACAGAAGTGCTGCACATGTTTTCGGAGATGGGCCAAGATGTTAGATGTGATTGTATTTTTTGAAAATTTTAAATTCTTATATAATTTATGTATTTTTTTTTATTTTTTATTAATAATTTAAATTTTTATTATAAATTTTTGGCTTTCTTATCCTTACATCTATACTTTTTTCGATTCACATCACTAGACATAAGATTTTGGGTAGATGCACGATAGATTCAGAGGCGATACATGCCTACTTTAAAATTTATTTATTTTTTAATTATTAACATATTTCATTGATCATTTCCACCTCGAAATTTTATTTTCGGTCACTCCATATATATTTTTTATAATTAATATAAATGTGTATATCCTAAAAATATTTTTGGATTCGTCATTAATCTCTCTCTATATATATATATTAGGTTATTTTTTAATATTTATTTATATATTATGAAAAAAAATGATTACCTTAATGGTTAAAAAGATGCTATTACTTTTAGAGGTCTCATATTCAAGTATAAAAGATAATTAAAATGTTTAAATTTTTATTATCATTAAAAATCTTTAGAATAAATATTATTTATAATAATTATGAATTATTTAAAATTATATATATATATATATATATATTAGGATGATAAATATTTATAATTATGAAAATCTTTTTAAAATAAATAAATTGAAAGAATTTCATATAAATTTATCAAAGAAATTTTTTAAGAGTGTTTGTTCTTTTTCTTATATGATAAACCTAGAGTCATAGTCCTTGCAAAACACCGCCACAGCACCGCCACCATCTGCAATTAACAAGGACTCCCCTTTTTTCTCTGTCATTAAAGAAAAATAATAAGTAAAAGAACCCTAACCCTACAAATCCAAAAGGAGAAGGATTCAGGTTCCGCGTTGGAGTGGGATTTCCGAGCCGGTTAATGCTGAGTTTTGGTGAAGTTGAAGAGGATCAAAGAGAGGGTTCTTCTAATAAATGCTCTCTCTATATCTCCCCTTCAAAGTTGCTCCCTTTTTCATGTCTTCTTCAATCACGCCCTCTTTATTCTCTGAACATTCAGGGTTCTCACAAGCCTTAGACTTGGATCTTTGCTCTATACCTCTCGTTTCTTCTCAAACTTCTCCTTCGTATAAAACACGACTGATTCTAAGGTTTGTCCCCTTCCCCTTCACTCCCTTTTGTATCTGGATTTTTGTTAAATGTACACCATTTAACTTCCCCCTGAATCCTGAGATAGGTTTACTTTTGTTTCCTTGTTAAGCACTTAAAAGTTTGGGATTTTAGACAATTAACGTATTTTTAATTGTTTGATGATTGGTTGATGAGTTTTACCTTCATAACAAATATGATTTGGTTGGAAGTGGATTATTTATGAATGATGAAAACGAGGTTGTCTTTTCCTTTTTTCTAAGACAAAAACTTAATATGATTCAGTTATGCTTGACTCATCACTTGCCTAGGCTTCTAATCAGAACTTTGGCACTATTGTTTTCCTTCGTTTGAACAGGCATTTGTCTTCAGGTCCTTCACTGAAGATGAAACCAGGTCATTGCTGTCAAAGCAGTCCCCTGGAAAATCTGAAAAGCCTGTGGAAAAGAAGGAACTGCAATTGGGTTCTTTCGATTTTGCAGCTGGAGGATCTTTGGGAAGTACCAATGGTAATTTAAGCAACAATCCAAGATCCATGAATGGACCAGTTGAATCTTTATCCTCAACTTCTCTAATTGAGGGTGTAAAAAGTAGAAAAACAACTACAGATAGTTCCTCGAGTGCAATCCAAACTTCAAAAGATACTGGAAATTCTTAGCGTTCCCGCAGTAGCTGTAGCCTCAATAATGGCATGAATTGGCCGAATGCAAAAGGCATTGATTTAAGTCCACTGCAATTATCTCAAAATGAATGTGGTCCCTTAAATGATTCTCAAAGTTTGAAATTTCATATCCTTGAGAGAGTTAATATAGAGGGTGGAGATCAAAATGGGAATGGGAAGAATGATATTTTGTTAGGAAGCTCTGTTCAAGGAGACATTGCAAAAGAAGCTGAATATCGGATTAAACTTGTTAAAAACTCATCACCACGAGGCTTGATTAACTCTGGAAATTTATGCTTTCTCAATGCCACTTTACAGACTTTCCGTACTCTTCTCCTTTTGTCCAGCCCTTGCAGCAACTTAGACTTCGTAATATACCCAATGTGTGTTGTATGCTTATGTTGTTTCCTTGAACTTATGTACTGATAAATTATCATCTCAAGGTGAGTACATATGAATTAACCGACGCATTTGTTTGGTTTTGATTTGATAGGTTGGCTATCCAATATTAACTTCTTTTGCTGAGTTTGTATCCGACTTTGATGTGCCATCCGTCTATTCTAATTTGAAGAGGAAGGATACAATAGCCCTTGAGATTGGTAGACCTTTCAGTCCTGTCATGTTTGAATCTGTCCTTAAATGTTTTACTCCAGATGTGCCAAATAGCATATCTGGTAGGCCAAGGTTTGTCTGCTTTCTAAACAAAGATTTTTGCTATATTTATAGTTTTACCAGCCCCAAGTAACGTTCTTCACACAGTCCATTTATCTTAAAATAACTAGACTTGATAATAACGTGGTAGTATTGAAATATCACCCTCCATGATTATGGATTAGGACTGACATTTATTAATGCTAGTCCTGACCCTATTGAATTCTTTATAACCCTTTCCGAAATGCTAAAACTGTTTAAAAGAAATTATGGCTGGTTTAAAATTTTAAATGTTTATAACGTTGTGATAAATTTTGTTCATCGTCCATTTCAGACAGGAAGATGCTCATGAGCTTCTAAGTTTTAACATGGATCAAATGCATGATGAATTGGTTAAGCTTCAAGGGCAGTCCGGTAGCTCAAATGGAGTCAGATCATCACTAGTTTCTTATGCAGAAGATGAATGGGAGACTGTTGGACCAAAAAAATAAATCTGCAGTCACAAGAACTCAAAGCTTCCTTCCATCGGAGTTGAGTGATATTTTTGGAGGACACAGTTGAGGAGTGTGGTGAAGGCAATAGGTAAGGAAATTTGCTATGGCTGCAAAGCATATTGGATTATATGAAAGTAGTCAATTCATGTGGTTATTTGTTTGGTTACATGTTTTTATGGGGTTTGCCAACCCGTGTTTCTTTTTTTTACTTTACAACTGCAGTTACCAGAAACTTGCTTGAACAAGCTAAAACACTAACATAGTGAAGTCACCTAGATAGTTGCAGCAATTTATGCATGTTAACTTTGATCTTAGACAAAGTGGAAATACATATACTTTTCAAACTTTGTTGTCTTCATCTTTCATATCCAGATGTTAGCTTTGTTTCTTGGGTGGATTTTCTATCCTGTTAGGCGGACATTAACATTGTAATCTTTTCTTTTCCTTAATTTTCCTATTGGAGCGGGAAATAAACCTTCTGCTACGTTCAACCTCATCTATTGCTCCACCTTTATATCCATCCTGAAGCTGTTCATACTATCGAGGATGCACTTCATTTGTCCTTGGCACCTGAATATCTCGAGGGTTACCGAGCACCGACGACTGGGAAGGTATTTATTTCTTTTAGTTGTTTCCTTTTGTTGTTGGCTACTATATCCTACTTTTATAAGTGTTTGTTTTTGTTATATGTCTCATCCTTTCCTGTATGCCAAGATATTAATTGTGATAAATTGGATTTTCTTGGTGTTCATATCGATCAGGCTGTTGTTACTGCCAAAAGAATCTGTCAAGATACAGACACTTTCAAAGATAATGATTTTGCAGCTGATGCGATTTAGCTATGGAAGCCAAGGGAGTGCCAAGCTGCATAAGCCTGTACACTTCCCACTTGAGCTGGTATTGGGTCGGGAACTACTTTTTTCTACATCCACCGACGTAAAATTTCTCTTTGTTCACTAGTTTAAATACAAGTCTGCTTTTTTTTTTTTCGCATTTGCAAATTCGCATTGTGAATTACAAAGTAACTTTTAATCATCTTTTATGGAAGTATCTGCTACAATGATGTATTCTCGTTCTTTATTTTTTGCCTCATGCTTTGTTGGCAATCCAAAGCTATATATTTAACCTTTATTTTCTGTTCTTTATTTATAGGGCAGGAAATATGAACTTGTTGCTACAATATCCCATCATGGAAGAGATCCGTCCAAGGGCATTATATTGCCGATGCTCGTTATCCCAACGGCCAATAGCTGCACATCGATGATGCCTCTTTCACTGCCATTGGGACAAGCAAGGTGTTACATGACCAAGCATATGTTCTCTTCTACCAACAAACATAGAAGCTTTTATTTAAGACTCTCCTATTAGGTATAGATGATTATGCAGGTATACAATACATGGAAAATACGCTATTGTATTCTTATGTATACATGTTATATTTATTATAAGGTTTGCTCTTGGGGAATACCCTCCATTATATTTTCATTGTTTATGCTCTTTATTGTTTGTCATTGGAAGAAGTACAAAATATAAAATTCAGAATCATAATTGAGAGGGTCAAAGCAATTATTAGGCTTTATTTTTTCTTTAATGTTTCTAATAACAAATTTATACTGCCTCTATTTCATCTCACATCTGCTAAAAACTGAGGAGAGCTAAATACAAAAGTTCATTCCAAGTATCTGTAAGGCCAGCCACACACCAATGGGTGCAATCCATCCCTCTAAAGGCATTATAAAAGCTAGGGTGCGCATCTTTTCTCAGTTGAGACAAAGCTGTGATATCCAATAAATGAACAGGCTTCTTGATGCCACTTATCACCCCTTTAACCGCATATGCTGCCTCAGGCAACCCTACTGGATAAACTGTTCCATTGAATGGTTTCATCTCCTTCATGCAATTATTCACTCCCGGCTCGCCCCAGTCCGAACCACTGCAACATAGTTTCATATGAAATTAGTCAGTCAACCCGGTGTACTAACATTGGCTAATATAGTTTTCAAAGGAAAAGGTAGTCTAACTGGTAGTGTGAAGGAGAGATCCCTTGAAATATAACTTTAGTTTTATCAGTTTCCACATCTGAATCAACCCATTTAGCCCATGTTGTCAAAGCTGTTCTAAATGCAGTCATACGATCCATGTCTTTCACTATCTTCCCTTCCACTTTGATATAATCCCACCTGCAATTTAACAAACACATTCACAAAATATGTTTTAGTTCCTGCTGTTAAAGCTCGTTAATCATGGTTAAGGTTCAATGTAAAGGTTATTACTGTTGCTTCGGTCCTCTTCGGTACCACCAAAGCCAAGTGTTGAAAACTAAAACATCATTGTTCTTCCATAGATTCCCATTCTTCATTGAGTTCAGATTCAGAACTCTGCCAATTTTCTCCTCATCAACGTCCACCAAATACAGTGAATGAAACAGCAACACAGACACATCATAATCCTGACAAATTAATGAATCACGTTAAACATTATTTTAATAAGAGATTCTTACATAGTTAATCTACTTGTTAGATTCTTATTGCAGGTTACCTGGAATTCAACGGAAGAAATGGTGTTGTTGTTCAACTCTTGTCTGATTATGTTGGAATTTGGCACAGCAGCATGAAGCATGCATATCAACGATTGCCAAATGTTGAGACTTAGAGAGTCTCCAATAAACATTATCTTTTTCCCATTGAATCTCTTCAAAAATGACTCTCCATCAAATCTGTTGGAATTGCAGACAGGAAACTATTTAATGTATAGATTGTAGTGTAAGTGAATGAGAGCATATGATTTGAGGTTGGTGCATTTCAAATCCCAGAACTATTGGGGAATGCATCACACTACTATCCATACATCACTTCGATTCGAGAACGAATATAGAATATAAAGACGTGTTTGATACGAGTATAAAATTTTAATTACTTCTTAACGAGTGATTAGCAATATCGGTATATAAAATTCCTTGCCATGATTAGGCAAAAGTTATCGACTTTCCTCTAATCTCCTATCCATTTTAGTTTAATTTCCATTACTATCTGCCGTTTCATATCATACAACTCATAGCAGGCTGTATTTTAATTCAATTTCTCCTCCAAACCCTTAATGCAAACCGAACATATACATGTATTCGATACTCATATCTAAATTAGATAACTTTGAACGACAAATAGAGGACTTATGTATACAATATATACGAGTGCGTTCGACATTCCGATAGAATCTCGAGTAACTTAGAATAAGATGTAGAGAGCGAAGTACCTCGGCAACCGGCAATTGCTCGGCTGCCATCTATATTTAAGGTAGAGGTGATCGGGGCGGCCATACTTGATGCAATCGAATTCCTTGCGGATAAAAGGGCATGCCGATGAGTTGTAGAGAGGAAAGGAGTCATCATACACCCATTTCCCTTGGTACATATTGCAAGTCATCTCTTGTTTTGTCAAATCAAAGCTATTAGAATTAGCAGATAACTGTGAGAAGATGATAAAGGTGGCAATAGCTTGAAAAAATCCCATTTTGAAAATGGGAATGAATGATGTGATGATGATGGGAAATAGAGAGAAGAGTAAAAATACAAAGGAGACAATACAATGACAGTGGGGCATTATTTATATCAGCAACAAAGGCAACTTTTTTAATTCTACAGAAAGGTTTAACTTTGCATGGGAGATGCTGATTAATTAGGCATGGAGAGAGGCGGGACTGCATTTATCGAATTTTATGTGTATATAGAAAATTCTTGCTGAAAGACTCAAAATTAATTACTTTCCTCATGATGAACAACTCAGTGAGTCAACGATTAAATTGCAGGTTAACGTTAAAAAAACGTATAACTTTGGTAAGAAAATAAAACGTATGTTTGGTAATTACTTTGGATTTTTGTGAAACGAAACCATTAAATGCTTTTTAGTGAGTGGTGAAACCATCTCTCTTTGAATAGATTGATTTAATTGAGAAAGATTCCTCTTATCTTCTTGTTGAAAAAATGTTGATATCATATACTTAGGGATAATGATATTTACATTTACTGTTGAATGTTTAAAATTAGTGCATAAAGAATATATGGAGTCTTACTTAATTGGTTAAAAAAGTTCTAAATAAATATTATATTATAATCATCTTATATTATTCAAAAAAATTGTCTAAATTGCTATAATACGATAATATTGATTATTAAATTCAGTGTCAAATCTAGAAAAAAAAATTATAGAATGGGCCAATATAAATATAATAAAAAAATTCTGAAATAATTCATATATATTTTTAATTTAAAAATATAATAACAAATATATATATATATATATATATATATATATATATATATATGCACACATATATTAAATTTAGAAAAATAATATTAATTCGAAAATATAATTTTCTTAACATAATTCATATATATATTTATTTGGGGTAAACTAATAATTTGGTCACACACTTATTGCTTAATTTATTTTTTGGTCATTCAATTTATTTAAAAAAAATCATAAATAAACTTATATTTTAGTTCTATTTTGATCACATACCATTAAAAACTTAAAAATGATGTTAGCATGACATTTAAAAAAAAATTCAATTCAGACGTGACAATATCTTATGATGATACATTAACATCACCGTTAATTTTTTAAAGACGAGTGAATAAAATAGAACCAAAATATAACATTAAGTGCGATTTAACATAAATAATAGTTGAATGGCCAAAATATAAATTAAATAATAAGTAGACTGCTAAATCAGTAATTTGTCTTTTTTTAGACATGGGATAAGCCATGGCCTACCTACCTAGGCCTTGCTACGCCCTAGATTAAATTTATTATTGTTTATCAAAATTATATTAGTTAAACAAAAAATATTAGTGTCGCAGTTAATTAATACATTACACATATATAAATGTGAAAATTAATAAGCTCATAGTTAAATATATTAATTTTTGAATTATCAAATACAGATCATGAATTTAATCAGAGCTGCATCAATAAGACAATAAAAGACAACTTTTTGATATTAGGATTTTGATGATTTCAAAAGATAACATTTGAGGATTTCAAAAGAAAACAACCGATAAATATTAAAAATTGGTCTAATCAAGTTCAAAACATGTCTTTGGGTCTCAAAATCAATATGTTTGACTGTGAGATTATCAAATTTCACATTATTTAGATATAATTTTTTTTCAAGTGTTTAAATATAATCTTTTAAACATACATTAATTGAGTTATTGAAAATAAGACTAATAAATGCGAACCGCTACCGTTGTCCAATTCGTGCGGGTGTAAATATGTTTTTGACACGCACATTAAACAAAATTTATATACTTTATTTAATATTTTTGGTCCGTCTTTTTTTCATTCCAGCCCAACTTTAAAAGTTCTGATTGGTTTCTGCTACATCAATAGAAAGCACTCCCTACTAAAAGGAAAAAAAAAAAAAATTATATTTTAAGTATTAATTTTTGTTTTGGTATAATCGGATAAAAAACCCTAGTTGAGGGCTTACTTAAGGAAAAAAATAATATATAAAGATTTAATTATTCATTTTAGAAGAATATATTCACTTAATTTATAAATTGATAGAAAGTTGAGGGGATATTTAAACTTAACTAGATGTAGAATAACATTTTGAACCAGAAACCCCTTTTAATAACAGCACTAAAATGACATTTTTTAGAGTAACATATACATATACAAAATTGTCATTTGATTTGTGCTTTTAGACGGTCTTCTATGAAAATAGAGAATGTGCAGAGGAATGAAACTAGCCCTGGAAGAACTAAGAAAAAGTAAAGTTACCTGTAATCCTTGATAACATAAACTGTTGCTTTAAATAAAATTTGACATGAAATATTCATAATTCAAACAACCTTAGAAACATAAAAGAAAACCTAAATAAAACAACATAATCATAAGAATATGAAAATTTTCAGGGTCCAAAGCTTAAGCTTTAATTTTCTTTCTTTTATCATCTGATTCTTGGTCGTTTCCGATGAAGTTTCGTTTCTTGGTCGTGTTCATGTAAGGTCTAATAACCCATTCGACCTGAGCTTCACTCTGCTCCATTGTTCCTAATTTTACCTGCAACATGAGCAAGTCGGTTTAATTTAAACTGCAATACAAAGCACCCGATGATTATGATATATCGATATGGCATTATAGTTACCTGATAAAGCCGCAATTCAAACCTCGGACCGATTTCCTTTAACTCGACTGATTTAGGACCTCCAGGTTTCTCGTAGATATGATGCCTGCATGTTTACATGCTATCAATGAGTGAGAGTGAACATTTCATATCATTGAAAGAAGAGGCACAACAATCTATGTCATGATTATAATAAAAAACACACAACTGACAAGTTCACTCGCTTCAAGGTTTCGACAAGTTATTGACCGATTTTATTATCCACTAATGATATCAATATCTCCCTTTTAATGCTAATGAATGCAACAAAATTTAAAAGAGAACCAACCTGAATGAAATATAGTCAGACCGATTAGCGAAAGTCACAATACGTTTTGTATCCGGCTTTGGCACAGGGAATAAATGTTTTAGAATGTTCGCTGTCCTTTCACCGAGCTGGCAAAAATAAATTGAAAATGAATGTCAACCAGGCTTCGTTACATAACCAGCTATTAGACACAAGTGGCATATATGTAAAACCATTAAAAGAACTAACCCCAAAAGGTTCAGGTATGCACATATATAAATTGTACCCAATGGCATCATATGCTTTGTAAATATGGTGCATGTAAAATGATAAGAATACCTTGGTCTTAAAATTGTCAAGAATCAAATGTGGGTAAGCTTCAGGCATTGTTCCCATGGATTTCTTGTCCTTAATGTCATGTCTTGTAACCTAGAAGGAAATATTAGATTAAGAAAACAAACAAAGAAATAGAAGACGAAGTAAACATCTGTGCAGGCTAGAGTGGTCAAATACTTGCCACATTGAGTATCCCAAAGTATGCAGTGGGACCAAACGGTAAATGACTTATGATCAAACCATCTGGTATGCCCCGGTGCTCATGAACCAAAATAACATCAGTAAACTCATGTGCGCGGCAACTTTCAATAATTTCAGATATGACCTGCAAATAAGAAAAAAGGGGGGATAGATAATCACTTTCTAAATTTCACTAGAAAACCAGCTTGATGTCAAATAAGTAAATAAATTTGTGTTAAATAAAGGTATTGGTGTTCATAATATGAATCATGACTGGCAGGCCTAGGCAATGCTTTCAACATGGTCCTATTTAAAAGGTAAAAGTTGCAAATCAATTACTAGGAGGAGAAAAGTGTAGCTCCAAAGCTTGACAAGACGACAAGAAAAAATTGCATCAAGAAGTCTAATGGTGCAATAGTTCAAAGAAAAGGTTGGTTAAATGGAATGTTCAACTTAAACGCTGAACACGACTTTAGCCAAGTTGCTGATAATAAAACCAGTGCCAAAAGTGATAGAACTTGCATTTTATATCCTCAACATCAAGAACAAAACCCTAGCCCACAATTCAACACAAGCATCATAACAATAAGACAACCAATAGGAACATCACTACAATGCTGCACTCACCTGACCACCACGATTCATTCGCTCAGCATTGGGAAAGACGAACTTCAATTCCTACAATAAACACTCCTTAGGAAACCGCAAAATATCAAGGAAAAATGGTATTCATTACCAAAATAGACAAACCAACCTTAACAAACTGTACAAGAGGAGCACTTGGATCCCGAGATGTTGTCAGCAAAATCTTAGGGTCTCGTACGGTTGCATTTGCATACTCGTCATCAATATGAGATTTGGGAACTAAAAATCCACCAAAATTAAACAGTCATATATCAACACGAAAACTCAAAAAAAGGCCAAAAAAATGAAAAAGGGGGTTTCTTTAACTAAGAACATAATAAAAGTTAAAAAATTACTGGCTGTGTAATCATCTTCAAGGTCAATTTCTTGGCGAAGCGCGGCCTCCTCATTGCGGAGCTCAGTCGGAATGGGTTTTCCCTCTACAACGAAACAAAATTAAAATAATAATGGTAAAATTTGAAATTAAATTATGATAAAAAAAGAAAGAAAATTTAATAGTACCATCAAGGGCTTCTTTGATCTTCCGTTTCTTCTCATAAAGCAAACGCTCTTTGCCTTCCAAGCTCTTCCTGTACAAATATTCTCTCCTCAATCGTATATTTCTTCTCAGCATATTTTTTTTATTTAGTTTTAAGCGAAGCGACTGCTAACTAGATTTTGTAGAGTTTAGGGTTTTCTCAGTAGATGGTGGAAGAAAAACAAATTTCACCACAGCTTTAAAACGACGACGGTGCCATTTTATTAACCATCACGATACCCTGCGCTGATGTGTATTTGCGTTAAGAATAGGCCAAAATTTGTACCTTTGCAAAATTTGGGCTTTAAACTAAGAAAATCATAGGGTAAACTATACTTGTTATCACTTAGTTATTGTATCTTTTCATTTTCATCATTAACTTTTTAATTTTGTTAATCAAATCATCTGATTATTTAATTATTGTCGATCAAACTACTGGCCGTCAACATTTAATACAGTAGGTGATATGTCATTTAAAAAATTGATAAAATTATAGATTTATCTCTGTTAGTTATACATTCTATCTATTTAATCTTAATTTTAATTTAATTTAATAAATTTAATCTTCTAATCAGATTGTAATACATGTCACAATCATTGGTTAGAGAATTATATTTATTTTAATTTGTTTAATTCAATAGAGGTGGCATGTATGCATACTAAACTTTATTTCATTATCATACATTCATATCATAAATATTTGTATAAAATATTCTTACTAGATTAATCGGGACGTAAAAATTTATATCTTAACATAACTAGAAAATATCGTAAGTCATTCAAATCAATTGTATACATATTTAATTATATTTTCGGATAATATAAATGACTACCCGAAAATAGTATGCAAGTGATTTTAATGAAACAAACAACAAAAAGAAAGAATACACCGTGATACGAAAAGGGAGAAAAAAAACCATGAAACAGATCATGATTCATGATCCATTTCATGTGAAGATGCTATATATGTTGGTAGAAATGGCGATTATGCTTGTTACTACTGCCAGAACAATCATCACCGCCGCCAAAATCCGATCCCTCGCCGTCGATATGCCCCAGGCATCCCTGTAATGGAAAACAAAGTAAAACATTATGCATATATGTGTATCTATGTATATAAAAATATTGCAGAGGTTCCATGCAAGTGCATAGATTGAGAGACTACCTAAGAGCAATGGCGCCGGGAAAGATAAATCCGAGGGAGACGGTAGAGGTCGATCCCATGAACTGAAAGAAGTACCATATGTTAGGAATGGCTATGGCCGCCGTGTAACTGAAGGCTAAAAGAACAAGTGTGATGCACATAAATCCCGTGTTATCTTTTGCCAGGGGAGTTTTGTTTGGAAAAAGAAATTCATCCATGTTGGCTCTCAACGAGAAGTTTAAAAGAGGGAACACCAGCATGAGGTGCAATGCTTAGCTCAATCGAACTACATCGGTGAGTAACGATTCGATCGCTGAGCTGGAGTTTCGATAAAAGTTTACAAGTATATCTGCCATGATCGAATCACCAAACAGAAGGTATCCGAAGACTCCGATGGTGAAGTAGATTGCAGCACATAAGACCACCGAAATTCGGACTGCTGATATCATATTGGAAGGTTTCACCATCTCGAAACCAATCGGATGAACTGCAATCATTCATTAAAAGCCTTTTGAATGAGCCATTTTGTGACAAATACAACCAAGGAGGCCAAAGTGTCCTCACCATTGAAATGAAATGTGAAAGCTGTGACAATGACAGGGACAGCAGTGAAGAGTTCAAAGAAAGAAACTTTGTTGTCCAATTCCGGTACCGGTCTCGGACTATTCGCTTTCCCTTCGAAAAGCGCCATGATCGCCATAACCGAACTTATGCCAACAAACACCACAGCAAGGAAAACTGATATTGCAGAACTGAACCTCAATGATTCTGCAAATTAAGCACACTAAAGCTTAGTTCTTAGGCCACTAGGAAGATTATCAAGAGAAGAAAAGGCTTTTGGAGCATACCCACGCGCTTGAACATAACCAACGGAAGCAGAACGAAGACGAGGGTGAAGAGGAGCGCGAAAGCACGCGAATTCCACCAACGAATGCCAAACCATTGTTGCAGAACACCCAAGTGAACTGATCCTTCAGGTTGATTCCCTGATAGAACATCCCCTAAGGGAACAAAAACATGTTCTCAAAAATCGGAACAAACAATACCGGAAACCGACAAATCGATCATGTAGACAAAGCATATAACATAAAGATCACATCAGTGAAGAACATGGTAAATCCAGTACTTGCCTATGATGATCAAATAAATGATGAGGCAGCCACGATTAGTGATCATAACACATATTTGTTCCAGGATCTATCCGACCTTCCCGAATGACTCCTCATGACACCGGCATATGTTGTTGTGTCCCCGGCACGGGTGTATCTCATCAAAAACTCAACTGATCTCTCTGCTAGCCAAGCTATAACAGCAATCATCACAAACGCTGGGATTACACCTAACACCTTGATTGTTGCAGGGATTGACATTATTCCAGCACCAATAATGCTTGTGGACACATTAAACACCGCACCGGATACTGATGGAGACTTTGCCGGCGACGTTCTGCTCTCAGGAAGCAGTGATGCATTTACTCCGGCGGCCGGCGACATTTTCAGATGAGAAAGCACAATAATTTATGTTGTATTCTTATGCATAATTATGCATTGGATGCGTGCATACATAAAGCTGTGGACAGTGGGATCTGACAAATTTAAGATCGAAGGGCATTTTATTTTTAAAAAAAAGCATCCTTTAAACATTATTTCTCAATCTAGCACATGTTTTTATTTAATTCTTAAAACAATATTCTTTTGATAAAATAAAATATATGAATTTTACAAACAGCGTCTTTTAAGTTCCTTTTTTTAAAAAAAGAAATCACGATTAAATGATTATACTAATAGATATGAACATGTTTTATCCTAGTGATTTGTGTTTTTACAACATGTGCATTGTTTAGGATGTTTGAAATTTTCTTATATTTACAACAACGTAAATCTTAGTCGATGTTGGACGATACTTTAAATTTTTCCGTGAAATTTTTTTAAACCAACATTGTATTCAAATTTTTTTAATTCATTAATAAAGTAATTTTTTAGTGCTACCATTTGTGTTATAAAAAGATATTATTTTAAAATTTAATAAGAAAATATTAAATTGAGAAACATTTTTTTAAATATTTAAAAAAACGAAAGAAGGGTGTGCCTGGAATTAATTAAATTACTCGTTTCATTTATCATTGGAACTTATTTTATAATTAAGGGACAAGTTAGGGTGAGGTGATGCTGTCATATATGAATGTGTTGCCCAGAAAATGTTTGAAATGGACACCAAGATGAATCTGGAATTAAAAGCAGGAGATGGGGAATGTGCATAATATTAAATTGTGATTGCAGTCATGGTCGCAGTTGTAATGTCTCGATTATAGATATTACGAACGCTACGAAAATATAATTTATATTTAAAAGAATATTTGTATTTTTAAATTACAAATCCGTTACATTGTAACTATCAGCTATATTACTGCTACAACTTAATACTACGGGAGTGTATCGACTATCAAATCATAAATTTAAGTTGAAGTTTTGATTTACTTTGATTAAAGTATAACTTATAAGTTCCGAGTTTAACTTAAATAACTCAATCGGTCATCCTCATGAGTCACGGCGTGGTATTCAACGGTCGAAGTCGATGTTCCGATGCTCAAGCTCCTTTATTTAACATTTTGCATGGCCCTTGAATCCTCTATAAGATTCCTTTTGCAAGCATGCTCACACGGTGATAAGAGAGAAGATTTCAGTGCAAAAAAAGAGGAAAAAAAATCTTTATCATCTTGTCTTCCAATGAAAGCTACCCCATAGTCCACTGGTTGGTAGCTATGGCAATCATGCTTGTCAAAATAGCCAACATCATCAATAAATCTGCCATCACCTTTTCTGTTCTTGTTGATACCCCATAGTCCACAAGTTGGTAGCTAGGTGCATTGTGTAGCTTAGTCGAGCGGTTTCAGTTATGGTAGACCGATTCCACAATTCGAATTTTGATCGAAGTTCATTACATAGGCCATGATGGAGTCCCCGACGAGATTGTATCCAAAGAAACCGATGCAGCAGTAAATTGCTAAAGATATCCTGGCTGCATATCTCATATCAGAAGGCCTACTGAGTTCTGACCTTATGGGATGAACTGCATTATGTCCAAAGATTTTATGTTCCAAAAATGAAAATTACAATTCTGAAATTGAAAAATGCATTTCGAAGTGAAGTGAGGTTCGATTACTGTTAACATTAAAACCGAAGCCGGTTTCACAAGGATCGGAACAGTAGTGAAAAGATCAAAGACAGAAACTTGATTAGCGAAATCTGGCGGCAATGTCATGATCTGAGATTTTCCATTGCAAAATGCATAAATTGCCATTTCTGAACTTATGGCTATGAACACTACTCCAAGGAGAATGTACCAATTCATCCATTAAAATCACCTAACTCATATGTGGCAAGAACACCAATGGAAGCACATCTCCTAGAAAAGAAAATTACCAATTCAATGGTTTCAAACACCAAATACTCAGAAAAGGAAACATAAAAAGCTACCACTTACCAATGAATGATCAAGTAAATGATGAGACAACCGACGTTAGTGACCATAACAGAGATTTGAACTGCATAGGAAACCCAATGGTCCAAAGGATTCTTCCATTAATCCAGCATACGTGGGTTGACTTGCCATATTGAGTGTACCTTAACTGAGTTTCTAGAGAATTTGCATCTGATAAAAGTGGATTGAGATCACTGGCACCAGTTTCGGCTTCCTTCATGCTGTGTTTTTGAAGGGTTGTTGACTTCTGCATAGTTTCTTTGGTCCTAGCAGAGTTATTAACTTATTACAGATTGAAACTAATTGAAGAATGTAGCAGGGAATTAAATTATCACCATGTGCAATAAAATAATGAATAAAGTTTGGTTGGTCTAAAAGGACAAGGTTTTCTGACATAGAAATCAGCTTATGCAAATCCTTTAACAACCACTGAAAAGGTTTCATCTATGTTTTGAAAACCGAATCGGACCGGCCGGTTCAACCGGTTCAATCGAGAACCGTTACTTAGTCTGATTTAATCTAAACCGATTAAACCGCTATTAGTGAACCGATCAGAACCGTTGAACCGTTCGAACCGGACCGGCTGAAAACCGAAAAAAACCGGAAAAAACCGAGATTTTTGTTTTATAAAAAATTAAACCAAACAACGTTGTTTGTTAAACGAGCCAAGTCGAACTCGAGTATTGCTGAGCTCGACTCGAACTTGAAAACTTTAAAAGTAAGCTCAACTCAACTCAAACTCACAAGCTAAAAATTATCAAGTTCAACTCAAACTCGAAATATAATATTGAAACTTGAACTCAAAAAGGCTTGAATTCAAAAAAAAAATTAGAAGCTCGATTGAAGCCTAAAATTCGAGCTTGATTGAAGTGAAAGAATAGTTCACTCAATGCTCACCAAAAGGTTCCATGATTTTGAATGCCAAATTACCTCTATTATTTATAGAAGTTAGTTGTGATGCGCTTCTATGTTTCTTAGCAATGTGAGATTGTTTTGTTCTCATATTTTTACTCTTTAAACTTTTGGGATGCTCTTCTATGTTTCTTAGCCATGTGAGATTGTTTTTTTAAAAAATTAAACCAAACAATATCATTTTGTTATGATTTTTTAACCCCAAATTTATTTTTTAATTATAGTTATATAATTATATTTATTATTTAATATGTTTTACCTTAAATATTATGTTGTAGTTAATTTGAATCATTTTGTTTCACTTGATTTTATGGTTTTTAACTTATATATGTTATGACTTGCTTTGAATATGACTTGTGATATAAAAAATTATTTTTTATTAAATATTTTTGGTATTTTTATTTAATTTTTTAAATAATTATGACGTCGTCCGGTTCTTCCGACCGGTCGGACCAATTCGACCGTTAAACCAGTGAACTGATAGCATGATCGGTTTGCTAACCGGTCCGGTTCTGAAAACCATGGGTTTCATAGACTGCATGCATAGTGGATGGTTCAAACTGGTGTAATACCACTTTTGGTCCCTGTATTTTTGCCAAACTGAGAATTTGGGTAAAGTACAGGGACAAAAACTAGTATTAAGCCTTTCAAAAATGTTTGAAGCCATCTGATGAGCACCAAGACCACTTTTATTCAAACGTTGGTTAAACGAACGGTGGTGTCAAGTCTGAAAATAGACATCTGTACATGTGCTTCCACTAAAGCAAAAGTGTATCTTTTTTGAACAAATTCCATTACATCTAGTCTCATGAAGCCCTTTCTCTGTTTTCCTTAACCCTAAGTTTCAGTCCATAAGTTTCCTTCTGTTTCAGGTGATCAGGTTCGTCTTCCTTAAAATTCGTTACATCCGACTCTTCTTTTTTGTATATATACGCTGTTTTTTATTCATTAAATGAAAGAATTTGAGCAAATTTATGGTTTTCTTTCATTTGCCTGGAACCCTTCTGATGCTAAAGAACAAATTTTTTATATAAAAGATGATGATGCTGTATAAGTCAGAGGTCTGAATTTTAGATTTTAGGATAGATTTTTTGATCTGGTTCAAATTCTGTTTTTCAAAATATTGATTTGTTTATGTTTGCTTAGCTTTGAAGATTCCATGTTTCCCCTTTGTTTTGCCACAATTTTAGGGTTAGTAACTGCAAAATTGATTAGGTTGTGTGTCCCCTGGTTTCCTATTCAATTTTACATTCACACTTTAAGAGCTTGTTCAAATGATACAAATTTATTTTGTATTTTGTTTACTTAGCTTTGAAGATTCCTTAGGTTCCCTATTGCTTTGCTGCAATTTTAGTGGTAGTAACTTCTCATTTATAGATTAGATTGTGTGTCTTCGGGTTTTTTCAATTCAGTTCTAGAATTACACTTTAGGAGCTGATTTATGTGAGCTTCTCTTTGTCTGCATCTTTCTGGGATTTTATTTGAGGGTTCTGTTTTGATATTAGAATGGCTTCGAGTGATAATGGGGATCGGAAAGAGCAAACCGAGGAATCCAATGACAATAAAACAACGGAGCAAATTTCTCTTCCCGTTTCATCGTCACAAAGGACACTTCTAAATGGCGAAACCCCCCAAAGAAAGTCCCTTATCAGCTCTATGTCTCCACTGAGTAGACTCAAGTTTCTTAATTTTGGTTCTGCATCTGCTAGATTCAAGCTTTTAGCTCAAGAAAGAGATGAGGTTTCTCAGTTGGTGGCTTCTTCAAGTGGCCATCGGATCCGAGAACGTCTGACTGGGGTTTTAGCGAAAAAAATCGATTGGGTGTTTCTCATGAAAATGAGTAAGGAATGGATTAGAGACCCCATGAATATGGCCCTTTTTGTATGGATCATGTGTGTTGCTATATCGGGTGCTATTTTGTTCCTCGTCATGACTGGAATGTTGAATAAGGCGCTCCCTAAGAAGTCCCAGAGAGACGCCTGGTTCGAAGTCAACAATCAAATTCTCAATGCTCTGTTTACTCTCATGTGTTTGTACCATCACCCTAAGCGATTTTACCATCTTGTACTTCTTTGTAGATGGAAACCAGTAGATGTTTCCCGACTCAGGAAGGTATACTGTAAGAACGGGACCTATAAGCCCCATGAGTGGGCACACATGATGGTGGTTGTTGTGCTACTCCATATCAATTGTTTTGCTCAGTATGCCCTTTGTGGTCTGAACTGGGGATTCAAGAGATCCAAGCGACCCCCGATTGGTGTTGGGATATGTATATCATTTGCAATAGCTGCACCAGCATTGGCCGGTCTTTACACCATTGTTAGTCCTCTTGGGAAGGATTATGTTTCTGAAATGGATGAGGAAGCACAGAAGGTGGTTGATGATGGTGAAAGTAGTAGATCAGAGTGGTCGAGACGAAAATCATTCGAGAAGAGATATTCGTTCGCATCTGGAGATGACAAGAGAATTGTGGAGAGCAGGCCGCTCTGGAGTGGAGGGATACTAGACTTTTGGAATGACATTTCTCTAGCTTATCTTTCTGTTTTTTGTAGCTGTTGTGTCTTTGGGTGGAACATGGAGAGACTCGGATTCGGGAACATGTATGTACATATTGCTACTTTTCTCCTGTTTTGTATGGCTCCTTTCTGGATTTTCAACTTGGCTGCTGTGAATATCGATAATGAGACTGTCAGAGAGGCTCTTGGTTTTACTGGAATTGTTCTCTGTCTGTTCGGTTTATGTTATGGCGGCTTCTGGAGGATCCAAATGAGGAAGAGATTCAGTTTGCCAGCGTATAAGTTTTGTTTCGGTAATCCAGGAGCCAGCGATTGCACACTATGGCTATTCTGCTGTTGGTGCACACTTGCTCAGGAAGTACGCACCGGGAATTCTTATGACATTGTAGAAGATAAGTTGTTAAGAAAACAAACAAACAATGGTAACGAGCTGCCAATGTCACCTTTACCTCGTGAAGGTGGGAGCGTCCAATTTCGTCCCAACCCTAGTTCGTCACCGGGGTACAATTCGACCCCAACCACAAGGTTTACAACCAGTTCATCAAGTTCCAAAATGATTTCAAATGAGTATCATAGTCCAGACCGGCAACTTTCTACAGCGAAAGGAGAGTTTTCAGTAGGAGGTAAAGATGAAACCATGATTCCACCTACTCCATCACCGATACAGAGAGACGAAACATAATCGAGGAAAAATTTCAAGCATATCCTTATCATTGTCCAACGAGTCCATGTTCATACTACACCAATATTTTCGAGAGCATCGAAAAGCATTATATAATCTCACTTTTTCCCCTACTTTCTTGCTTTTCAATTTTTTTTGGGTAAATATGTATGTAAAATTTGCATGGACGGTGTTTACTACACTATTGTTCTGGAGAATCCTTTTTATTGGCAGCCTTAGTTTTCACATGTTTTGATAGTCATCCTCGTACTATGTCTGAATATGTGTTGAACACAGGTATTTCGAGCAGAACGATTAGTCGAAGCAACATAGCTTTTTAGTTTGTATAGTTTGTCCATTCCGAAAGAAACTCAAATTCATATTGTTGATGATCCTTTTCCGTATTCGATCCGAGATTACGAAAATGTTAGATGTCAACACAGAGCTCTTCTGCTCATGCCATTATTGGGTTCAAATTCATATTGTTCATTACACGTAGAAGGAAACGCATACACATTTCATATATGTATACATATATTCATATTATATAGAATATTAATTTTGCTGTGAAAGAGGAACGTGATGAATTCCCCCCCTGGTGATGTAGTGGTTAGCTTGTCGGACAGTGACAATGACGACTTAATTACGAGGTAGGTGGTCTTGTCATCTTACTACTTATTACTTCAGGTTCTTCACTATCATGGCCTGCGAGATACAATTCATCATTGTTGCGGATGTTGCAACTATTATTCCAGATTTGTTATAGCTGATTGTTGACTACGAGAACAAGTTAAAATCGTACAAAAGTGATTGTAATAAAGAATAGTATTGAAAGGACTGAAATGAATAAAATAGAAATAATTTGGGGAAAATAGAATTAAAAGAAGTGAAAATACACTAAACCGAATAAATGTAAAATATGATACCATAAAAGTGATATTATTCAGTTCTCAAAATGTTTGGCCAAAACAGCTTGATTTCTTTTTTCAAATAGTAATAGTTAACTTTATTTATTCTTTTATTAGTATGGGTTATTATAAGGTAATATTTGTTCGAAATATTCTCAACAGTTTGACAATGAACACTCAAACACTTCTTTACTGTGTACGAACTCAACTTTTAGGAATAACAACTTTATTAAATAATGAGTATATATCTTAAAATTACTGTGAGAGTATGAGAAAATAACTCAATCAAACAACTCAGATAAATGATAGATGTAAACAAATATCATTATCGATGGTGAAGGATAAACACCATCAACACTAACATAAAAATATATATAATAATGATGGCTCGTTAACAAATTATTCTTACCATAATTCAACTGCAATCTCTCAGTAATTGTGAATATCTATCAATATTTAATTTGATGATCTAAACTAGAAATAAATCAGCATAATAATTTAACATCATCCATGGATACGAACATTAAAATTAACCCTGAAAAAATATAAAGAGCATACGAAAAATTCATAGAAGTATGATAAAATAGAAGAAGAGGTGGAAGAGAAGAATAAAAATAAAATAATACCCCTTATACTTCGATAAAATTGTAAATATAAAAATAGAATTATTCACCATTTTTATACGAAAATAAAAAGACTAATTAGTATAAAAGGGATAGTTCTTCGCATGAGTCATTATCATGGCCACCAAGATACAATGATAATACTGTTAATAACTATATCATCATAGTTATAAAGTTTATGAGTTGTTGCTGAACATGATATACAAACATTAATAATTATATTATAAAATTAATTAATTAAACATACAAAACAATAATAATATTATTAATTATATAATAATCGAATAATAAATGAGTTTTAAATTCTTTATTAAATAATTATGTAAAAAGAAATTTATTAATGAACATAAATAATATGAACAAATTTTATTTGTATTACGTCTATCTAATGAATGGATATACTTAGTTTAATAACACGAATATAAATCAATAAAATTCAATTTTTGTATGAACTAGTCATTGAACGTTCTATTTATTTAGAGTCCTAATCTTTTGGATGCTGAAATTTATATTTCTAAAAGTGATTATATGAATCACTTAAATTAGATCATAAATTCATAATTTTTTTTTCTATTTTAGGGTTGAAAAGTTAGTGTAGCTAATGAAAAGAAATAGATAAGTGGGGTAAGAACTTGGAAAATGGTTCAATTTGTCAAGTTGGAATAAAGATAATTTGTCAAATAGTATGATTGACAATAGATTAGGGAATAAGGACTTCTTTTTTAGGAAAAAATAAAGTTTAAATGTGGATTTCATTTTTCAAACCATTTGCTTAATGCAATGACTGTTGTGTCAACAACAAAAGTAGAATCCACTTGTATGTCATTTGGATGAAGTTTATAGAATATCATTGGATAATTTACTTGAAGTTGTTTGATAGGTTTCTGCCCAACTCTTAACTACAGCCATTATGGTTTGGTTAATATATTATGGGGTTGACTTTTTTCACTATTTAATGTGAATTTTATTGACTATAAAAGTTTAAATTATAGAAATAATGTTTTTTTAATAATCCGGGATGATAATCAGGTAGTATTTGTTTAAAATCGTTCTTAGTCAATAAGAATGCACATACACCCTATAGACATAGATGCTCGAATTCGAAACCTCTAGAAAAAACAACTCTCTTCTAAATGAAGAACGTTCAATGAATTTTATGAAAATAATGCTTAAATATAACTAAATATATTTAAAAATTTTAAAAATAAATAATGTAACACGTGATATTAATTAAACACTATTTATAAAATTAGTTTTTTTTAAAAAGAAATTTGAGTTTTATTTAGAAAAGCATTTCAAGTGGATCTTATCTTTATCAAAATATTTCATTCAGTGGCATAGATAGGGATATGCAAGGCTCTTGGTTCCCTGGTTAAAAGGGATAATTGTATTATTAATCCCTATGAAAATTAATGATTTGATCTGATTTTTAGGGTTATTTTCCAGATTTTTCATAACCCCTTCTTATTGACATCATTTGTCCTTGTACTATACATAAGTTGTCGTTTAGCCTTTGTATTTTAATTTGATTACTTTTAATATCGTATTTTTTTTCAAGTTTGATCTAAATAATAGAAAGATAATACGATTAAATTATAGAAAATCAAGATCACCAAATTAGACATTCAAGGGTTGAGCTACCCATCGAAGCCTGAAGATGTTATTCTACATTGTTTTTTAAAAGTACATTTTCAGAGTTAAAAATACTTTTGGTACAAAAAATAATACAGAGTATCGACAGCTCCAAGCTGGAACTACCAACTATTATTAGTGCCTTTTTAATCTCCATTTGCTCTTTGTTGCAACTTGCACAAGACAAAGCCCTCTCCGTCTCCATCTTCTTAGGACCGGGGCCTAATGTTGATTTTTTAGATATGAATTTTCAGAAACGTGGCCCACTTGGGTATTTACTACAAGGCCAAATCGATTAAATATTTTTCAAGGGATTTCGAAGCTAATTTTACCAAAATTAATATCCATCTCTAGTCAGTCTCTTTATTAAGGGTCAGTTTAACATTACTTTTTAGAAAATATAATTGTTTAATATTATCATCAAAAAGTATTTTTGAAAGTATAAAATATTATATTAAAAAATTTAAAATATATTAATTTGAATTGTGTTTAAATTTGTTAGTTAATATTTTATATATATTAAAAATAAAAGTTAAAAATGAAAATAATTTAACATTTTTTATTAACATGATGTAAAAGGTTTAAATATGTATGATTCCCCTTTACTATATTAAATATTGAAATTTAGTCTTTTTGCTGTCTCTATACCTAATTTTTGTACAAATTTACCTATTTTTGTTGTGGTCATTTAATAAATGAATGAACACGAACATAAGTGTATTCAGTTCGTTTATGTTCACTAACATGTTTATCCGATTTTCCTTTTCCTTTTAACTTTTTTACATTTTAAATATCGGTGAAGATAGGGACTAAATTGAACACATGATTAAATTTAAAATTTATATTGTGAATTTTAAGGAGTTTAAGTACTAGTGGCGTAATTTTACCATTTTCTTTTGCTTGCCGATGAAAGGGTAAAACTAAAAATTGAACGTATAAACGAGCATGTTCGTGAATGCTAAATGAACATGTTTATGAACATATAAACAAATGCGTTCGCGAACATTAAACGAACATGTTCATTAACAACAAATAAATGAACACGGGAACCTTTAAAAATAAATAAACGAACACGAGCATACTATTAAAATTTTAAATGAACATGAATCGAACATAGACACCTTAAAAAATAAACAAACGAACACAAACATAATATTGTTTGTTCAAACTCGGTTCATTTACACCTCTATTTTAATGTATTTTTTAAAAAACAGTAGAAGTTTTAAAAAATTATGAATTTTATTTTTTTAAAAATTAAAAGAGAAAAATAGGCCAAATGTTAAATACTATTAATTGAGTGGGTTTTTAAAGAATTTTGTAACTATCCTTACTGTGTAGACACTTTAACATTTGTAAAGTAAGATAGTTATATTAATGGAAAAAAATTAAACACCTAAATTAAAAATATTAAGCCTAAAAAAAAATACTGACATCCCTTGCATTCATTTCAAGAGTATATGGCTTCCCTTTCTCCCTATATAAACCTAAAGTTCTCCATCCATCCTCACAAAAGTTGTTCAACAGTTACTTGATTGCTCAGAAAGAACTGGTTAACATGCATGAAAAGGTTGTGGATGAATCCAGCAAGAACCAAGAGGTGGTTCTTGCCCTCTATGAGGCATTAAACGCTCGTGACGTCGACACCGTTCACAAAATCCTTGCCTCCGACCTCGAATGGTGGTTCCACGGTCCCCCCACTCACCAGTTTTTGATGCGCCTTCTCACCGGAGCTTCCTCCGACGATTCTTTCCGTTTCGAATTTGACCCTCTCTCGCTCACCACCTTCGGATCCATTGTCATCGTCGAAGGCTGCAATCACTGCCGTTCAACCTCCTGGGTTCACGCTTGGACCGTGACGGATGAGACAATCACCCAAGTGAGGGAGTACTTGAACACTTCTCTCACCGTTACCCGACTCGGAAACTCAACCCAATCTCCACCGTCTGACCACAACCCATCACCGTCGCAATCGGCGGCTGAGGGTACCTCGCTGCATTGCCCTTCTGTATGGGAGAGCAGCTTTTCCAAAAGGGTTGGAAAGTCTGTTCCGGGTCTTGTCCTGGCAATTTAGTCTGT